CATTGAGGGATGGGACCAGACAGGACTTCTCCCAATTCATGAGAAAACCCAGGTGGCAAAGAAGGTCCACTGCCCAATGTCTCTCAGTCCTGTGCCATGTTGAGAAGATTGTCCAGATAGATGATCAACCTGACATTCCCACCGACTGCATAACCAAGCCGCCACAAAATTCAGCAACTTGGTGAAGCAAGGGATGCAAGTTTATCAGCGGCCTCATCTGACTATCTGTAACGATTCAGGGTGAATTGGCTCGGTATGTAGAGAAAGGACAAAGCAAAGTTACTTAACTGAAAGTCTCTCAAATAAGTCACTATGAATTGGGAAGTCCAGGAACACGTCCATGCAGCATAGGGCCAGGACCAGGAAGGAAAAGGAAAGTCTCTTAACAGGATAATCCAAGCAGGACCAGCACACAGACAGTCTTTAGCAGGTAAATCAATTAGAAAAACGTTAACTGGGCAATCCAGGACAGGGTCAGGTAGGCAGAGGTTAACCAGGCACCAGGATAGGATCAGGCAGGGGTTAACCAGGCAAACCAGGATAGGATCAAGCAGAAGTTAACCAGGCAAACCAGGATAGGATCAGGCAGAGGTTAAAGGGACACTATAGTCACCTGAACAACTTTAGCTTAATGAAGCAGTTTTGGTGTATAGAACATGCAGCCTCACTGCTCATTCCTCTGCCATTTAGGAGTTAAATCCCTTTGTTTATGAACCCTAGTCACACCTCCCTGCATGTGACTTGCACAGCCTTCCATAAACACTTCCTGTAAAGAGAGCCCTATTTAGGCTTTCTTTATTGCAAGTTCTGTTTAATTAAGATTTTCTTATCCCCTGCTATGTTAATAGCTTGCTAGACCCTGCAAGAGTCTCCTGTATGTGATTAAAGTTCAATTTAGAGATTGAGATACAATTATTTAAGGTAAATTATATCTGTTTGAAAGTGAAACCAGTTTTTTTTTTTTCATGCAGGCTCTGTCAATCATAGCCAGGGGAGGTGTGGCTAGGGCTGCATAAACAGAAACAAAGTGATTTAACTCCTAAATGACAGTGAATTGAGCAGTGACATTGCAGGGGAATGATCTATACACTGCTTTATTTAGCTAAAGTAATTTAGGAGACTATAGTGTTCCTTTAACCAGGCAAACCAGGATAGGATCAGGCTGAGATTAACCAGACAAACCAGGATAGGATCAGGCAGAGGTTAACCAGGCAAACCAGGATAGGATCAGGCAGAGGTTAACCAGGCAAACCAGGATAGGATCAGGCAGAGGTTAACCAGTCAATCCAAGACAGGATCTCACAGGCAGAGATTAACCAATGATCTGAGCAGGATCAGGCAGGCAAGAGGTTAACCAAGGCAGGGTCAGACAGGCAAGAGTTTAACCAATATTTGCATATACAATTATATAATGAGCGCTCAACTTCTATATGGGTGAAAGTGTGGTAAAAAAGGATATTGGGTGCTTCATGGGAAGAATCTGTTTCCCCACCAGATGCATGCACATAAAAAGGATTAATAACAAGGGGGCAGGGCCTGACACTCAAGGAGACCAGACGTGTCTCAGCATAGCTCCGGCTCTCCTAACACTAAACTGTGATGGAATTCCAGTAAAATACAAGTTTAGCAGGCCAAGATTGCCACAAGGCATATGTAGGTACATGTGTTTGTAGTATCAGTTAGTTAGTTACATGTAGCTAAGATACTGTCATCAATGTACTGAGCATGTGCAGGAATGCAGGAACTGGAATTACGCGTTCCTCTCCTTTGTTTCAGATGAGCCACGTGGTTAGACCAGATGGATGAGTTTAGACTCTATTCATTGATTAGGTTAAGGGTATGTGTGGGCGTAGCTAATTATGGGAGAAGCTACAGTGCTATATAAGGAATGTACTCTATGTATTCAGTGCTCAGATCTTTGCTGTTTTTGGTGACATAAGTCCCTCTGAGTCCCGGTCGGTGAATCGAATAAAGATCTCTTCCTTCCTGAAGAAACCTGTGTCCATCTCTCTGTGCTTGGCTTCCGTCAGTTTCCCGGTAACAAAACCACGGCTGAAATTGCTTTTCTAAGACGCAGAAGCCCCTCTGACACAGCTGCAGACTGACACTATATTATCCTGAACCGATTATATGTATGGAGTGTTCCTGTCCGACGGGCTTTCACCAGGTCTCACAGCCTAGTGCACCAGATGACAGGGAGAGGCGGACAGTCTCCTGGTCTGAAGAGCAGCCTCTCTGCAGCTCTGTTACCCCCTCAGGAGATACAGCAAACCCAACGTTTCGGCATCTAGCCTTCCTCTAGGCTGTCTATGCTTCTGGAATGAGTTGCTCTGTCAGCCTTGATAGACACCCAGTTCTAAAAGACCCAACGCATGGAGGACTGGACCTTATCCTAGGCTGTAAATATCCCAACAATCTTCCCAAGGTCCTTAATAAAACACACCACAGCAAAAATAAATCCATCTTCACCTACAGTGGGCTCACGGCAGATTGAGCTCTGATAGCTGGAAAAGTCCATACATAGGCTTTACCATACCATGTCACACTATTGCAAAGCGTGGGAAAATGTAATTTAAGTAAGAATGGTAAGAACACTCTGATTGGTTGGTTCTTATTTAAAACTCCCCTACCCGGTGCCCACAGGGGGGACCTTCCCCCATGTTTTTTCACAATGCCCAGTTGATAGTTTTAACAGTTTAGTAGACATGCCTACACCTGCCACATAGTAGGCAGGAACATAGGGAGGTTTAAATTCTCCCTTATAGCAATATGAGGGTCTTATTGACCCTCATTGGCTATTTATTTTTTTTATTTTATTTTTTAAACTTTTTTTATGTGAATAATTAACTCTCATGCTGCCAGTCTTTTTTAAACTTTTTGCCTTCTTGCTGCTAATGCTACCAGCAGGCAAACAGTTCATTTTTTTTTTTTAATTCCAAGCCCAGATTTGAAGCAATTTGGTCTGAATTTTGTTGTCTTCAGGGCCAAATTCAGGCCCGCTCGTTGAATTCCATGAACGATGTCTGGATTTCGCTTTCCGAATATTCACCCACCAAATGTTTCGTTAGGTATGTTATCCATATCAAATGGCAAAAATTACAACAGTATTAATTTCAATTCCAGATGTATCACTACATAATGTGTAAACATCCAGGAGAATTAATTATTTAAAGGTATACATTGAATGTGCAAATTTGGGAATAAAAGTCAAATTATGATTTAAATTACATTTTGTGACCAGTCAAATTGGAGAAATTTGCCCAAATCAGCTATTTTATGAACACATACAAATAAATACTTAAAACGGCACTTTAAATATTAAAAGCAAAAAGTGTATATATTTTTGTTTGTATACATTTTTACATCTCAATAGAACCTCCCATCTCTATGGGAGACTATGGAATGGAAGTTTGTCCTTAATACTTCTCTGTTAGAAGCATTTCAGTGGGCAATGCACATCACTATAAAAGTAGTAAATGCTGGGCAAAAAGGAGGTGAATCTTCACTAGATGCAGAGGTGAGTTCAGCAGCTAATGAAAAAATATTTTATTTTATTTTTTAACAATGAATTATACGCCTTAAAAATAGACACATTTTAGACATAGAGTTCCCTTTAATATGGTGGCTATTCATCCCTAGTTTCAAATAAAGATGTCACTATAATTATTTTTGTGTAAAAGATTCTTTAGGGATGAGAGTAGTGTTGTTGCCTTGCCTTTTTTAAAAAGCCACAGAATATTTTCTGAATGAAGACGTTAGTCATTTAGAGCTGGTGACTACAACCTAAATCCTCAACTTGATCAAGATTATGCAAGACGAACAGTCCTACACAGGTATCTTTTTAGAAAGCATGTGTGACAATTTACAACATAAGTCCTCATAGGTATTTAAAACATTCTACATTTTGTTGTTTTTTTTTTTCTTCCTCTTTACTCTTCTCTTAGACAATCTGCTGCGTATTATTGGTGAATACTGAAATGATGTAATGAACCTGTGCCTGTTGTTTGACTATCTTCTGGCAGGTGTATCCTCTGTGGCCTCCCTGATGTCCCTTGCTTGGGTGCTAGCCTCCTATCACAAGCTCCTACGGGACTCCAGGGACGATAAGAAGAGTATGAGCTACAGAGGGGCGCTCATCCATCTTTTCTGGCGACTTTTCACCATATCATCGAGAGTTATCTCTTTTGCCCTCTTTGCTTCAATCTTCCAGCTCTACTTTGGGATCTTTGTAGTTGTCCACTGGTGCGTCATGGCCTTCTGGATCATTCATGGTGGGACAGACTTCTGTATGTCCAAGTGGGAGGAGATCCTCTTCAACATGGTGGTAGGGATTGTGTACATTTTCTGCTGGTTTAACGTCAAAGAAGGCCGGACTCGATATAGAATGTTTGCTTATTACACTGTTATCCTGACGGAAAACGTTGCCTTGACGTTCCTTTGGTACTTTTACAGAGATCCTGACACAACTGATTCCTATGCCGTGTCAGCACTGTGTTGTGTTTTTCTTTGTTTTGCTGCTGGGATAGTGTTCATGCTTCTTTATTACGGCGTGCTGCATCCCATGGGGCCACGCGCTAAGATATTTGCCAGCTCCTGTTGCGCCGAGCTGCTCTGGGGCATTCCTTTGCCCCCTGATGTTGAGCCTATGGCACCTCAAACTCCAGGGCACCGGGGGGCACAGGCAACGCCAACCAGAGCAGTGTCGGAGCAACAAGATGACCTAACAGCTGACACATGCTTGCCCGTTTTTCAGGTGAGACCAACGGTGCCATCTACTCCAACTGGGCGCCCTTTTTATCCCGAGGGGCCGCTCATTAAGATCGACATGCCAAGAAAAAGATATCCAGCTTGGGATGCACATTTCGTAGACAGACGGTTAAGAAGGACTATCAACATTCTTCAGTATGTCACCCCCACAGCTGTAGGTATTAGATACAGAGACGGTCCTCTATTATATGAATTGCTACAATACGAGTCTTCTCTATAATATTCCAAGTACAGAGGAACCATATTTTTGTTTACGATAAACACAGCTAACTGAACAGAATACATTTAAAAAACAAAAGGAAAGGAAGTTTGGGAAAAGCTCAACTTCTGGTTGCTCTATGTACACAAAGATATTCTCCATGTTTTGTAAGTAAAAACTAAAAGACTATTCTTTTGTGTTTTACACACAAGAAACAGTATTGAACACCCATGCTACGATCCAGGATGGAGAAAAGACATCTCCACTCAATGTTTTATACATTATACACCAAGTGTAGAGAATTTATGGGATTGGTGCTGATTGAACAAACTAACCTTCAACTGCCTTATGTCATTATGGTGCTGAGTTTCATTACGTACTGTCACCTTTCTAATGCAAAACTGGTGGTTATGAGTCAGGAGACGATCAAGCCTTTCGTCTAACAATTTTTAGGGTAAAGGTGTAGTGTACAACAGAGAAAGCACATAATCAGTGTGTCTTCTCAGGACAACTAAAAGAGGTTCCAGTGCTTTGTTTTCTAACGACCCTAGCCATGGTTGCCATGGCATCATACAAAGGGTTACTAAGCAATGGGACCTTTGACTAGGTGCTATGTGATGCTCAGCTGTATTCTCCTTGCACTGAATTCACATAGTAATATTTTACTTCCAAAAAAAAAACAAAAGAAACACAAAACGAAAAAAAAACAGTTGAGCTTTGATCGAACACCAAAAAACAAACAAATAAATAAAACTGTTCTACAAACGTGTAATACAATATTCAGTAATAATAAAACTCAGCATGGTAGCAAAAAAACACAAAAGAGATAAAACGTATATACAAAGGCACAATACTCGATTGGTGACGTAAATTAGATATTTTTAAGGCTGTATGGAGAGAGCACCGAGTGTTACAATAATCAATAGGTTCCTGTTTATGTCTTGTGATAAATCTGAGCCTTAAAGTGATCTTTAGTGCTATGTTATATTTTCTGTTTCACTACAGATATAAATAGGTTAACTTTTGACAAACAGAATATCCAACAATTACTGGTGCTTTGTTCTTCTTCTTTGAGTTGTGATTGGCTGAAAACCCTTCACATCACTTGGTGCATTCTAGAACTGTAGTGAGTATGTCCTTCTTTGTAAAGTGTGTTGATGACAGAATCTGACGCTGCTAAACTTTGGTTCACCTAAAGTTCTGCAAGATAATATTTTATGTGAAGCTTGAACAGCTGTACTGTGTGTTTGGGGTGGAGGGTGGGGGAGGTGGGGAGGGCCTAGCAAATGTGTCATGCCTGAAATTTTGGGGGATTTTTAAAAAATGTTTTCTCCATAATCAAACACAGTTTTTTTTTTGTTTTTTGTTTTTATGCTGGACCTACTGAGTGATCACCTTAAAAAAAAAGAGCAATTCTTCAGCTGTTGCAGAATTTGGACCATCTTCTGTTTCGATTCATTTGCTTTTGTCAGAGTTGCGGTACGGAATAGGTGACTTTTCGACACTTTCATAAAAGCAAATGACTCTGCTCAGTGGGCGACAGATGTGTTTAATATCGCTGACTGTTGACCAGTGCTCTTTTGGCGCAAGTGAGGGCGACTGGGTTGAACTTGTGTCGAGCAGATGGTACTTATTTTCACCCAGCGCCCCATTTTGGTCCACAACCGGCCTTGTGCGGTCACAGCATAGACATCTAGTGGGGAATTGATATCTTGACATACAATCTTTGTTTCAGGATATATCCCGGTGTTTATTTTACATTTAAAAATATCTATCCTTTTAAAAGAATCCATATTAATTTCAGGGCATCATTTCAATTTAAGATTCACTCTACCGGGCAAAAAAAGGAAGAATATATATATATATATATACATACATACATATATAGAGACTATATTTAATAACTACTGTTAGTCTTTTCTGTGTGTGAATTTAAAAGGATTTTGTATTCCTGAATAATTGTTCGTGGTGCATACCAATATTGAGCTGTTTCATGGAAAAGTTCATTATGGAGGCCTTTTTTAACAGTCCTTTTTGTTAACTGTTGTTTTTTTTTGTTTGTTTGTTTTTTTTTACCCTTATGGTTAACTTTAATCTAGGACAAACTGTTAAAACAAAAATATTATCAACATCATCTAATATATGCCTGATAAAGATATTGATAAGGAAAGCAGTTGTTAGCTAGTTTCTGTCTCTGTAAAGGATTTGGGGAATTTAATATATTATATAGATAAATGGTCTCCAACCCATTTACCAAATATATACCAGGAAGGAATTCTGCCTCGCACTCAACAGTGCTAGATTGTAACCAAATTTTAAAAAAAATGATAAATCCTAAACTGTTGATTTTTTTATTTTTATTTTTTAAGTATTTTGTAAAAAAAACAAAAACAAATTAGTTATGGAACCATGCGTAATGTCGTGTTAGTTTTTTCGCTTCCTTTTTTTTAAAATTAAAAGTATTGCTACAAAGATTTTTCTGATCATCAACCTTAGTGAATATTTGTGATGAGGAAATGGTAAAAATTGCTGAAAAAGAGAACAAGAATACACTGGTTTAATTTACAGTGTGATGCACATTTTTATCCATTAATTACTCTTATTGGGACGCCATACCATCTGCTTAACACTAGCGTGTGCACCTATTTCTAGAGATCTTCCGTTTACCAGAAACAAATGTCATTCTCGCTATGTCTTATGTTTAGGCACACTATACTTTAATATATATTTATAGACATGTTTATTTGATAAAATATCTGCAAGTATCAAATTTCCGCTTTCTTCCAATCCATTTGAACAAGACATACAAACCTCGTATAGGAGAAATGTATATTTAAGAAGAGTAAACCATAATTTTCTGTTCTTAATACGGCGGTAATGACTGGTGCCTTGATTTAATAAGGTCACGAAATCAGGCTTTGCATGACAGTCTCCGATGTTAAACATGGCGGGCCAGTTTCTCCAGAAGTCCTATTAGAAGGATGTGTTTAATTTACGGATACAAACAGTACAATTTGTGTATTTTTATTGTATTTTGTGTTATTGGTAAACCTGTTTTGGGCAGCCTGGGTTCATGTGAATAAGCATTTTTTCTGTTTGTTTGTTTTTTAATAATGTATGCATATTTTTATATATTTTAAGTGAGTGCAACTCATTTAAAGTATATTTTTTAGGACTGATGTTCAGATTATATGAATTCATAGATCATCAAATCTGCCTATAATGACATACCTCCAAACTTCGGCATGCATAGAATTGGGGTGCCATTGGTAGTAAGAGAGAGGGGGCGGGACAATGATCACCCCTTTCTGGCAGGTCAGCCTAGCGTAATGCCCTGAACATAGCATGAATACATCTAATGATGCATTCATGCTAAGCTTGTTGGGGACAGTTCCTTGGTGTCCCAAAAAACGGGATATCAGGGAACTAACAGACGGTGGACAGGAGCCCAAACTTGGGACTGTCCTGTCAGAAAAGGGACACTTGGAAGGCATGTAATTAACTATATTTTGTTTCACTATTGTGAAATCAGTAAGGCAAGTTTTTTTTTGTTTCTTCCCCCAAAATCATTCTGCAATTATTTCATTATAAATGTAAATTTCAGAGGTTTATGATAAAATTACTATTTGAAATACAGTACTAAAAAATCAAATGATGTCCTATTTAGGGACAATAAGAAGACAATTGTAAATATTTTTATTATTTTTTTAAAACTGCTTTTTTAAACCAGTTTATTATTATTTATTAAGACTGAATTACATATGTTCATCATTTAAAAATCAATATTTTTAAGGACCTCTGTCAATACTTTAAATTTGCAAAACATTTCATTTAAACACTGTGCTACCCACATGCCTACCAAATGTACAGATCTACAGATATCATAACAGTAAAATACGTACCCTTGCTGGCTTCCTATAAGGAATACCCATGGAAATATATGCTGTACCTGGAATTTTCTCTGTTTCGTCAAAGAATGCTTTATTTTCTCCATTCAGAGAAGATCCAGATACATTGTGATGAATGTATAAAAAGTGTTGTGCTCACATTTTCGGCTGGCTTTCTGACACTTTTCCTATTTACATCTATTCGTTGTGCCAAAATATTCTTTACTGCGCCTCTAACGTCATTTTATTCTCCTGGTCCAGTTTGCTGGGCTTTTGGGAAAATGCAACCTTTTCTTTTCAAGCAATAGTAATGGTCTTGTTTTGTCAAACCAATCAATGGTAAACTCATCAGCAAAAAGGGAGCAAAAAAGAGGAATAAGAAAGTGTTAGAAAGTTGCGTTACTTTGGAGCATTACAGAATATATGGGACAAAAAAGTCACCAGTGCCTAAAGGGTTGAGTAACAGTGTTATAAAAATGTAAATGGCACACGCGTGTGCCACTGATGGAAATGCGACAATTTTTAGTCTTTTATACGAATCCTCTTTAAAGCAGCACTTCACTTGAGGGGTCTTTGCATTTTTTGTAAAGACCCTCTTTAGGTGATGTTTTCTTCAAAATAGCACCCGGGAGAAGAAAGGTTGACCCACCGGAACACTTCCCTTCTCTCCGCTGCCATATTCCTCTTCATCTGTCTCTTCAGAACCTGCCGGTTCCCTGAACCAGTAAACGCCTACCTTGAGTATTCTTGGGCATGTGCAAAAGTGCAAAACTGGAACAGCCTCTGAAGCCATGACCATAATTCTACTTTATTTGAAAGAGAAGTTATACATAGCGGAACATTTAGTTGTTGTTTTTTTTTTGTTTGTTTTCTGCTATTTACATGATACTGTAAGGTACTCCAGGTTGGATTTGACCAGCATTTGTAACAAATTACACAGATAGTGCATTCAAAAATAAGAACTCCTAAGGTTTCGCTGCGTTGGCAGAAACCAGGAAATACCCCCGATTTTTTAGCTAATCCTGCTTCTTTCAGTGCTTCCAGTGTGAGTGCAGTGTGTATCTTATAACCCCTGCTCTAGGATATATACAGCTCTCTCATAGATTTCTGTTGGAAATATGTAACCGTGAAGAAGAGGAAGAAGCCCAGGCAAGAAATGAAGACACACAAAACGTCTCACTGCTTTCTCTTAATAATCAAAGAAATTATCCTTGCCCAATGCCCTGCCAAATGTATTTACTCAGTAGGTGTCCTTAGAACCAAGTTGGAAATATAAAAATGTGTACTGTACTGTTTACCTTTAGTGGCACAAATATTCATTTCCTTTTTTACTTTTAACATCACAGATGTTATAATTTGACAAAATCTGAAGACTCTTCATGCAATATATATGTTTGGTTTTATTCTCTCCAGTTAGCGTTGCAAAATAAACTTATTTTCTTCAAATTGGTCATCTTTACAAACCATTTTTATATACAGTAAATGTATATATTTCTTTATTAATGATCAAGTTAAAGAAACACTTTAATCTTAGAAACACTTTAATCTTAGAAACACAAAGTTGTATTTGTAACACTAGAGTTTTTCTCCACCTCCCCTCCCTCCCCCCATCCCCCAACTACTCTTTCTGGCAAATAAATAATTTAAAAACCTTTTTTACACTCAAATATTCCATTCCAGTGCCAAAGTCCCTCGTTACTGGATAGCTCTTGTCCACTGTCAGTGCCGAGGGGGAACCTAATGCACATGCAGAGAGAGCACCCCACATGCATTAGGCCTCCCCTCTAGGAAAGCATTGATCCAATACTTTTCAATGGGGGATTTGACAACACTGGACATCTTCATGCAAAACTTGTAATAGAAACTTGTTTCAGTGCGTTCGGAATATTGATCTCTAAGGAGAATTAAAATACTGTTACATTTTGACAACTAAACTCTGTCTGCAGTTTGCACCATAACCACTACAAGAAGCTGTTTAGGTAGAGATTTTTTTGTGTTCTTTCTGTGATTTCAGTTTAATGGTTAAAGTATAGTGAAAGCTACTCAGGATTTAGATAAAAATGTGATGAGTGAGTTCCAGACTTCTTTGCTGTGAGTTTACATTTATTTTTTTACTGCTCAATTTGCTATATATAGAACTATATATAGAACCCTTCAATACGGGAACATTATCTCTATTCTATTACACAATAACTGTTTAATTCTTATAGATAACTTTCATTTTCACTTAAGGAATTAAAGTCATACCGGGCTAGTAAGGTTAAATGTGTAGAAAAAAAAAGAGCAGGTATAGAAAATATATATAATAAGTTTAACGTACCTGGTGCTGTGCTCCCCTCTCCCCCCCCCCCCGCCCTCCGCGACGCCAATTATCGATCTTCAGTTCTTAGAGCTTTATCTGGCCAGAGCACACATCAATGCTATATTCTTGATCATGTGAGAGAGTACAACACTGTTGTCTATGGAGGATTCCGTGAGAAGTAGGTAGCCACCATAGACCATAGAAGTGGGGAGTCTACAAAACAGCGAGAGCTGTGTGCAGGGACAAAATGTCATGTTAGAATTGTCAAGTTCTATCGACATAGTAGTCTTTACTCTGCCTTATGATATCTTTTTATTGCATTGGGATTTCAAATGGGTTGACAAAGCTGCTTTAATTTAACCTAGAGGGCTAAAGGGACAGTTTAGCTATAAAAAGGCATTATAGCAACTTCCTCTAAATTAAGTTGTTATGGTGCCAGGAGGACCCCCGCGCCATCTTACCTTCAGGGGTTAAACCATTTTGGTACATTCCTTTCCAAGCCAGTTTTGTGAATGGGGAGAGCTTCAGCTGTCCGATCTCAGCCAATCAGCGGCACCTCTGCACTGCGGCACTCCACACTTCCTGTAAGTGGAATTTCAGAAGCCGGATGCCGCTGGAGGCAACTTCACGGTTAAAACGTTTGAGAACGGTTTAACCCCTGATGGTAAGAAAGCTCCCAGGAGCCTCCTGGCACCATAACAAATGTATTTATATGACATTGTTTTGGTGCCTGGAGGTTACTGTTATTATTATTAACATTTATATATCACCAACATAGTCCACAACGCTTTACGGTGATACAGTGCGGAAATGTAACAGTAAGTGACTGACAGACAAAAAAAACTGATGACAGATAGAGGTGAAAATGGCCCTGTTAAAAAAATACTCTTACAGTCTAGGAAGAATTGGGTATGATAACTGTCTACACTGTTAGAGGGAATTCCTTGACTCTTGGCGAGTTAATTTCTGTAAAATATTTCATTTTCTTATGCAGAGAAATGTCTCTACTCAAACAATGATGGGTCGGACTTTGTGGGAAGGCAGACTCGCCACGTATAGAAATATTGAGTAGATTTTTTGAGTGCTGGAAATATTATTGGTATCATCAGGGACATTATCTACACAAAATAATGATAATACTGATGTTACATTAATAATTCATGCTTATGTTGTTTTTTATAATAGCTACATATGTTTTTGTTAATGGATTATCTTGGGCATTGTTTTGTTTATTTATTAAATATTAATTAATAGATCCACTTATCTAATACGGAAATATGCCAGATTTATGCATTAAATAATGTTATGCCTGACGTACGTTTTTTCGGGATAGATTCCCTGGAACGCTTTCTGCTCTTTGACCGTTTAAGTTTTAGAAGTGGTCAAAAATCATCCTTTACTATCTAAAGGGCTTTTTATTGGTGGCTTCCAAACTGGGTTACCAGAATTTATCTTTAAGGAGGAACACTTAGAAAGGGTGACCCTTAATTCAGAGCAGCTGTGTAAGATAAGCTAAGAGTGGTATCGGGTCATAAGGTCTAATTAAAATACTGGGTGATCCATTGCTTAGATGACCCTCCAGTTGGATGTTTTGGGTTCCTTTGGCTTAAATAAAACCCATATTTTGCTTTATCATGGTTCTTTAATAAACTCAACTTTTTTTTTTTTAAGATTCTGTTAATCAACCGTCAGCATATCACAATATATATATATTTTTCTGTTGTCATTGATCCTTAAATGGTTAATGATCATGTGAAGATTGATTTACATTTATTTAACAAGAATATTTATTTATACAGCACTAACATATTCTGCAGTGCTTACATATAGAAAGTGGATATTTAGAGTTGAAGAAGGACCTGCTCAAACATTAAAGGTGTATATATATAATACAAACAGGAGTTTTCCAGTTCTAAGGCAGTGACATTACTGCTGATACAAAGAACGATGGTCAGGTACCTGTTCATGGATAGGTATCATCACCTGATAGAGAGTTGTTTAGGATACTGGAAGAGAGGAATGTGCACATTTTTTGTTACTTTGTCAGCTGGAAAGGTTTTAATGTAAATTGGTGTAAAACAATATTTACAAACTATTAGCATGATCTAACCAAGCTACATTAAATGTAATATTTTAAAAATAATGGTATCTTTAAGGTAAAGGCAACAGTCTTTGGAATTACATCTCAGCTATTATATCCTCTCTAAACCCTTATTCCCAACCATGGGGCACATCAGAGTTGCATATCGCCCAACGTGGACCTTCCAACACCCAGGATGAGTAAGTGGACTTGAGTGTGGGTTTCACCAGTCACGCGTTTTATGTCAATGGTGTCCTCATAAGCAGCCTTCTAGCTGGCCCCAAACCCGCAGGACCTTACAGAAAGAGCTGCTGAAGTACTTTCTGGAGGGTCCTAGTGCCCATTGCAACTAAATCTGGACTAAAAGACTCTTCTGCCAAAGGACGGGAGCGGGGAGGGGGCTAAGAATAGTGTCTGATACAAAATAAAATAGGCTGAAACGAGAAAGTGGGATTTTGAGTTTGTTGAGTTGAGTTGAAGAGCTCCTGCCATTCCACTCATAATCGACTAAAGAGGAAGTGTCACACTGTCAGTGTGAATGGAACAGAATGGAACATTAAACAAAGTCCGGATTTTTTTCTTTTCGGACAATGCAAAGACAGTTTCAGGTTACCTATTTTAATAATTTTATAGATTGGGTTTTTTAATGCCCAAGTATTTCTTGGCTTTTACATGTCAACTAGTTTGAAACATGCACAGGAATGTATATATATACATTCATATTAAGACATATCTACACACACACACAAAAAAAAATATAAAGTTATGCATCACCTGTATATCTCAAGTTGAACTTTGAGAAATCCTTCTTGCACATTGAAGTCATGTTTCAACATGATTTCTCAAGTTTGTATGCCCAAGAAGGACTTCTCCAAGTCAAATTTGAGATATACATGTGATGCATAACCGTAATCTTTGTCAGAAAATTTGACCCAATCAAGTTAACTCTTGTCTATGATTTTATGTACTGCTAAAAATATATATTTATTAAAAGGTTTCACTTTTAGATTTCTGTAGAACACCCTCTTTAATTCAAGTGTAATAAAAATGGTCCCATCATGTTTCCTTGGGGGAAAGTACATACCTCCCAACATTTGGATGTACAGAATTAGGACATGGGCGCATTGGCAATGACACAACTGTGTTACTGGTGATGCCCATAATTGACGGGGCCTGCTTGAAAAGCCACCTACTGAAGGGATAACACCAGTATTATAGGAAACCTCCTGGCCAGCCCCCACCATATCAGACCATGCATGGTTCTACTGCCTACTGCACAATCGCCAACATTTATTTATTTATTTATTTATTTATAAAATATTTTACCAGGAATGATACATTGAGATTTCTCTCGTTTGTATGTCCTGGGTCCACAAATCATTGCATTGTTACATTAGGTACAACAAAATACAAAAACAATATTAATACACAATATATACAAAATTTAACATAGAACAGGCAGGAAATATATAATCAACCATGACACATGCATTCTGTTTTGAGGTATGTAGAGAGGGATCTCTTAAATGACTTTAGGCTTAGGGAAGATTTTAAATTGTGCGGGAGGTCGTTCCACATGTATAATGTTGTGCTTGTGCTGTGTAGCCAGGTGACTGTGCATGCCAGATACAAGGAAACTAAATTGGGATGGTGAGACGGGAAACCAAAATCAGGACTGTCATGCTGAAAGTGGGACAGCTGGGAGGAGTAAGAGTAACCTAGCACTCGCAGCCTTGTAAAACATTGAGTTGAATGCTAATGCCAAGAGAAATTAGGAACTATCTGGGTGATAAACTCAGCGTTGCCTCAATCAACCATGTTCCTTGTTAGGGATATAGCTGAGATAAAATTTGGAGAATAGTTTAAAGGAGACAGGGGTACTAAGGGCATCATAAACATGTTTTATTTTTACTTTGAGTAAATATGCCCCAGGTTGTAGCTAACCAGATACCCCATAGCCAAAAAATGCCATGTTCCCCAATCCGGTAAAACATAAAACACATGAAATATTAGCCAAAGATTCTCTTCATTTACTTTCATTTCTTTTTACAGTCATGAATGCCAGAATAGGTGCCAAAAAGGAGGAATGTTTCATTTTATGGAAGCCATTTCCTAAACCATGAAAACTGTTTCACCTCCTTCAACTACATAAACCATAGGTGGACAATAAACCACTCACTTCTCCAGACCTTGTGGTGCCTTGCCAGTTGGTGCTTCTTGTATTTACTGCAAGTCCGGTTATGGCCACTATTTGCCATAAAGAACGCCAGTATTCATTTATTTTCGACACGTGCCAGAGCTGTAAACAACATAATTATAAATATTTAAATAAATCTACACGCAAGGGGGTTAGCTTTAGGATGGCATGTTTTAATGGACATACAATATGTGAATTAGTATATATATATAGCCAGGTGGGACATCTGAGATCACAGCTCAGGAGAGTGAACAGCTAAGATACTGTGCAGAACCCTCAGACTCCTGGGCCTCTGGTAGAGGACCCGAGAATGAGGAATATATATTGCCCAGAAGGGATGTGAAAATCAATTATATATAATTAACATTATTCTAATATTAGTGTTTTGGGAGGAATTAATTCCTTGAAAAATCAACACTTCTCAAATGAAATCACTTTCATGTAAATGAGTTTCTGATGTATCCATTAATACACCAATATATTACATAGTCTCTTGTAAGAGGTTTTCAGTAAAGCTTGCTTAGTCTTTTATAACAAAGCGACGCCTGAAATTTTATTTCCATAGATCAGTTAAAGTCAATTATCTCAGCAGACTGATATAATTTTTCATCCAACCAAGCTATAGTAATTTTATCTAGAAACACCATTTGCCAATGTAACCATTTTTCAAAATGGAAATTGATATTGCTTTTTTTAATATTCTCACACAAAGTTCCTGTTAAATAAATTGTAGCTGACAGTGTAGCGTATCAACAACTATTCCGGAACCTTGATTTGAGTAGTTGAGCTGATTAGCTCCCAGCATTCCATTGTGCTGTAAAAAGCAAATGTATTTATTTAATTGTTTGGTGGTGCAGAGTGCCTACTATGCCCGAAATAACCTAAAATTCCATTATCATATTTTATTACAAACTGCTGAAAACATTTAAGGATTAACAGTAAATGAAATAGGCAGGTTTTTTTTGTATTTTTAAAGCCTTTATTTAGTGTCAAACGTATATATCAAATTAAGGCAATTACAATTTCCATCTGACACATTTTCGGATAAGTGTTAAAAGTTGCTGTAATGTGTCAAAGAAAATCAAACCAAGATAATAGATATAGGAGGAACTATGGTAGTTTTTAAAGCTCAAAGAATGGTACAAGACAATGTCAGAAGACAATATTATACACTAGCCACCTCCAGAATGTTGAATATTCTAGAGATGGCTAGTGGATTATGGGAATGTGAAATCATATTTCTTCCACCTCCTTTACACGCCCTTTAGACTTTGAATATTTTATGGTAAGAACATTACCTAATTGTAGAGTATTTTGGGAGGCATGTACTTATAATTGCAAAAAAAAATAAAAAAAAACACAACAATACTTAATGTTAACAAATAATCGTTAGTAGTAATTTTTTGATCCAATAGTGCCGGGGTAGGCAACCTTTGGCACAACATTATGGCTGTAAGACCATTCTAGGAGAGGTAGCCCAGAACATGTGGAGTGGCTGTCGGTTGCCTACCCCTGCAGTATCGTGTTGTCAAGAAATTGAATAAGTGAGCAATTATATTCACAGGTTAGAACTATTTGTTTATGCTTGCTAGCCTCTTGTTAAAAATACTCGGTATTGTATTCTTTTAACATTATTTTTGTACTATTTGTCTTTATTATTAACCACAGAAGCACAATTATCTTTGCTAAATTAATTTAATGGTAAAAAAAAAAAAAGATGGAAAAAACACATTTACATTTTTTTTTCAGACTGACTAAGTTTACGGGTCTTTTTTTTTTTTGCTGTTTGTTTTTCATTTGTGTCTGGTTAGTACATTCCGTCCTTTATATTTTTAATTTATTTATAAATGGTCTATTGTCGGTACAACTAAGCTACATTTTCTATAATTTAGTAATTTTTTTTTTATTATACTAGGGAATATTTACAAAATGTTTTCAGCATTTTCTTAAATACACTGCTACAATCCACAATTTTAAAGTTTGCAGTTTTAGTTGGGTCTTTTTTTCTTTTTTGGCTAAGTTGATTCTATACGCAATTGCCACACAATGTAAAATAGGTTGATAATTTTTATTTTTTTAAAGGGAAAAATCTATGCTGTTAGCTATTTTAATACTGTGAATTCATTTCATTTCGAAGTTCCTATAAAGTCAGAATTACTGGAGCAGTATATCTTATTAGAATTTAGAAAAAAATGTACATATAATTACATTTGATAAGTGAGAAGAAAAAATATATCTCAATTATTCTACTTAATACATATCACTAATACAATTTTAATATCAAAACATTAAGCCAGATTTTGAGAATTACACTCACAGATCTCTGTTGTGTATCTACCTCACCTTATTTAGTTGAATTATTTCTGCATAAATGTGATACAGAATATCAGATCTTATATGTAGATATCTATATATACATATATATAAACAGAAATATATATTTTTGCTTTGCAATAACGATACAAAGCTATAAAGGAAATAGTATAGAAAAAATGCTCTGGGTCTGTGAAAATAAATGAAATATTCTATTTATTTTTTTTCATACTAAAATTCTAAATTATTTTAGTTTGTTTAATTTACAGATAAAATGTTGTCTTCACGGAGTCAAAAGGTATTGTTAGTGTACATCTTACCTCCCCTCTCCGGTATAAAATGCTGCTTAAATTTGTACTAGAAAAATTAGTCTCATAATTAAAAACTTGGACAAAACTATTATGTGACAAAAAAATAAAAATAAAAAATGAATATAAGCAGCCTAAAGAGCACACGTAAATATGATATAATTAGTATATCATATGAATGTAAATATGAACATACATGTTAAATAATACATTTTGCGTAATTTGGCCAATTAGTTCAATCTTTTTTTCATTTCATATGATTAAAAGATTATTCATTATCTTTGGTGCTTAGTTTCTAAATTAACTATATGGTGATATCTCAGTTTTAAATACTTTTTTATGTACAGATTTTCTCAACAATTATTTTTTAATGGTTAGCTAAATCAGCTGTCAATACTGAATGGGTATAGAAGGTAAAATAATACAGACTTGTACAGTATGGGAGCTGTAAATTGTAAAATGTGTTTCAAACAAGGCCACGTTCGCCTCCAGGAGATCTTTAAAAATAAACAAAGATCTATTAACTGCTAGGAGTCTGTAGGTTTATCACACCTTGTTCAGAAGTTGTCTTTCTCTAAATTATCTTCCCCACTCTGAACAAAGTTGCTGTTTAGTTATTTTATAGATATTGTGTGTGTTGTCCTCATATTGAATATTGAGGGGATTTTTTTCACTGTTGTGTGTTTGTGAGAAGCGGCACATGTTTGTGTGTACTCGTTATAGAGAAACAGTTACTTTAATTAGAATTTCTGGGAAAAAATACATTTCATTCATAGTTTTTGAAAGTCAAATTAGCTTTCAGTTAATTACAACAGATTTTTTTCTTGCAATTTTTCTTTGTTGAATTGACAAAGGGTAAATTGTGAATATTTAATGGGACATATTACCCGTTCTATGTTAATTATAGTATACTAGTGTATAAAAATTAACCAAGGATTCCTGCTAACCCTTTTTTGAACAAAGTGATTTAAAAAGCCAAATTATTAGCAGATGGATCACATTATTCTACCCTCTTATATTTTGCATCACTGCAATAAATATGTCAAGAATAATACCTACTAAATAATTATTACTTTACAATTTCCTATTCCTTAGGATTTGGGAAGGATAACAATAATGTTGGCACAAAGTCTTCCTGGTTTGATCTAAGCACTGTGCTTAGAGGTGCAACAACACTCCATTTAACTCTTCAATTTAGATTCTTTGTACGTGAAACGCTGGTGGTCAAATGGTGTCATTGTCAATAAATCTCAGAGTATTATCCGTGACGTTTCATTTTGGAAAAACATCTTTAACCCCTTAAGGATCAAACTTCTGGAATAAAAGGGAATCATGACATGTCACACATGTCATGTGTCCTTAAGGGGTTAAAGAACCAATTGTTATTGCATAGACCGCTACGGTCCGCAATGGGTTAAACTCAAAAGAAAGAGATTAAATGACATTTTTTAAATAGTTATGTTTTTATTGTAGTGTTAACATTAACATTATTGTGCATTTAACAGAAAGTAAAAATTAAATTTATAACATGATTGTGAAGATCTTAAAAATAGGAGTGTAAAATTAAGAAATGTATTTAATTTGTAACCAATAATGCAATCAATTGATGTGTATGTAAACCACAATTGCAACAACTGAGCTAATTTTATTTCTTTTTCTTTTTGAATTATGCTAAATATTGTTCCGATTCTTTACCCTAACCTACCCCACTAATGTAAATTCTATAAATACACTTACACTTCAATATTACAAAGCGTGTTTGAGACTGAAACTGTATCCTTTGCTATGTATACTTTTTTACTGTGCAGAATGTTGACTGTAGAACGATATATAGTGTGTCTACAATAAAATGACAGAGGTGTCTTTAAGCAGGAAAAAATGGTTTTAAATAAATATTAAAAGTAAAAAAAAAAAAAGCTAACATTTCTTCCAAGTTTCTTATTGAAACTGTCAAACGTTTTGTCACTCTGAAACCCAAGATAAATAAGATAAACAACTTACTTCTACACAATTATTTATTTTCAAGAAACAAAAATCTTTAAAAAAGCACAAATTTCTGATGGCACAGTTGTTTATGCCTCTGTATGTCTACTTATTGTTATTTATTACTTAATTTTAAATTACACAAAAAAATGTATGTAACAATATTTATGTAACACACAAATCTATATTTATTTTACATTATTTCATTTTGTACACAACCTCACCATATGTGTGCTCACTGTGATAGCACTCGGTGAATGATTATGAAGTAAAACAGCAAAACAGTTTAGCAATAAAACACAATGTATTTTGCATTAGCACAAACAAAATGTCACAAAATCCTTCTTGTTATATTTAAAGGGACACTGTAGGCACCGAAACAAGTTTATCTTAGCAAAGCGGTTGTGGTGTATAGATCATGGCCCTGCGGTTTTGGTGTATAGATCATGGCCCTGCAATCTCACTTTTCAACTCTCTGCCATTTGAGAGAGAAATCACTTTGGTTTCTGTTAATGCAGCCCTAGCCACACCTCGTCTGACTGTGACTGAAAAAGCCTGCATGAAAAAATGGTTTCATTTTAAATCAGATGTTAACTAATAATAAGATAAGATAGGAAATTCTAGATTAAACAGACTGTGCAATACAGGAAATTAAAATATCTAGGTTATGTTTCAGGAAGTGTTTAGGAAGACTGTGCAAGTGACATGAAGGGAGGTGTGGCTAGCACTGTATAAACAAAGTAACTTAACTCCTAAATGGCAGGGAATCGAGCCGTGAGACTACAGGGCATAATCTATATACCTGTAGTGTCCCTTTAACAGTAGTAGCCATTTGCCTGCGTCAGAATTGTATAATACAAGGCAGTATAGCATGTACACTGTTAAACCAAAATGCAGTATGTTATTTTTATATTATGACCTTCTTTGTTGTACTAAATGTTATTTCTGTATTGTGCAATAATTATATTATATCTTGTGTGATATGTAAAAGCGTAATATCATTTTTGAACTTATTTTAAGGATATACATATATATATTACAGAGGAAAAATATAACAAAATAATTATTTTTACAAAAATACCTCATCTTCAACTCATTTTGATACCAGTGCTAGCAATCATCTTAAAGAGACACTTGAGGCATCAATACAACATGTATGAATTTTATGGCCATTAGCTTCAATAACTAACATTATTTTTGCAAGCTCAATTTTTCTGTGGTTTTTGCCTTGACATAGTTTGCAGCAATCTCTATCTCAGACCTGCCTCCTTTTTCTGTCCCTTGCTCCTAATTACAATTTTTAATAACAATTGTACATATCGGCAAGAAGTACAGTAAAGTTTTGTAGGAGCTGTAATTCAGCTAAGAGCTGATACCTGACCTACAAGTCCCAAAAATTGCTCTGAGCAGAACTGAGGCTGTGCACAGAGAGCTTTGATTTCTGCTAATCAGCCCATACCCCCCTATCAATCTTGCAGTTAATCATCTCCAACAATTCAGACCAAAATGAGAGGCTCATGGCAAAGTAAATTACTATTTTGAATCTGTAATTTCTACAATTTATTTTCCAGTGAGTTATCTATACAATTCATTTGAAAGAGATTGTGTTAATTCTTACACAGAGTGCCCTTTTTACTATTTGTCACCTGATTTGCATGGTTGATTCTCCAAGTTAAAGGACCACTATAGTGCCAGGAAAACATACTCATTTTCCTGGCACTATAGGGTCTTTAGGTCCCCCCCACCCTTAGGGCCCCCCTCCCGCCGGGCTGTAGGGGGTGGAAGGGATTAACCTTACCTCTTTTTCCTACGCCGGGCAGGGGACTCTCCTCCTCCTTCTGTCATCATCCGCTGAATGCGCATGTGCGGCAGGAGCCGCGCGCGCATTCAGCCAGTCCATAGGAAAGCATTCTTGATGCTTTCCTATGGACGCTGGCATCTTCTCACTGTGAAAATCACAGTGAGAAGCGCAGAAGCGCCTCTAGCGGCTGTCAATGAGACAGCCAGTAGAGGCTGGATTAACCCATTTATAAACATAGCAGTTTCTTTGAAACTGCTATGTTTATAGAAGAAAGGATTAACCCTAGATGGACCTGGCACCCAGACCTCTTCATTAAGCTGAAGTGGTCCTTTAAATGACTCCTTCCCTTTAGTGGTGTTTGATTAGTTCAGGCAATTGCAGAAAAAGTATGTATTATGCCACCATTGATGAAAGAGGCCTTACTCAGTAGAATATTTATATTTGTTCTCTGGAGAAAGTTCTAACTTATTTCCATTACTCAATTAAATCCTTTCGAGTCACTACTTCTCAGAAAAGGTTATTTTAACATTTATCTCACTTCACAGACAGTCCATGATAGGTCTTGTTTCACAATCTCCAAAGTGTATATATTATTATTATTTTATTATTTATATAGCGCCATCAGATTCTGTAGCGCTGTACAATGGGTGGACTAACAGACATGTAATTGTAACCAGACAAGTTGGATGCACAGGAACAGAGGGGTTGAGGGCCCTGGCCAATGAGATTACATGCTAGAGGGAGTGGGGTATAGTGACACAGTAACAGAGGGATTGAGGGCCCTGCTCAGTGACTTTACATGTTAGAGGGAGTGGGGTATAGTGACACAGTAACAGAGGGATTGAGGGCCCTGCTCAGTGTGTTTACATGTTAGAGGGAGTGGGGTATAGTGACACAGTAACAGAGGGATTGAGGGCCTGCTCAGTGAGCTTACATGCTAGAGGGAGTGGGGTATAGTGACACAGTAACAAAGGGATTGAGGGCCCTGCTCAGTGAGTTTACATGTTAGAGGGAGTGGGGTATAGTGACACAGTAACAGAGGGATTGAGGCCCTGCTCAGTGAGTTTACATGCCAGAGGGAGTGGGGTATAGTGACACAGTAACAGAGGGATTGAGGGCCCTGCTCAGTGAGTTTACATGTTAGAGGGAGTGGGGTATAGTGACACAGTAACAGAGGGATTGAGGGCCATGCTAAGTGAGTTTACATGTTAGAGGGAGTGGGGTATAGTGACACAGTAACAGAGGGATTGAGGGCCATGCTCAGTGAGTTTACATGTTAGAGGGAGTGGGGTATAGTGACACAGTAACAGAGGGATTGAGGGCCCTGCTCAGTGAGTTTACATGTTAGAGGGAGTGGGGTATAGTGACACAGTAACAGAGGGATTGAGGCCCTGCTCAGTGAGCTTACATGTTAGAGGGAATGGGGTATAGTGACACAGTAACAGAGGGACTGAGGGCCCTGCTCAGTGAGTTTACATGCTAGAGGGAGTGGGGTATAGTGAAAGTAACAGAGGGATTGGAGGCCCTGCTCAGTGAGTTTACATGTTAGAGGGAGTGGGGTATAGTGACACAGTAACAGAGGGATTGAGGGCCTGCTCAGTGAGTTTACATGTTAGAGGGAGTGGGGTATAGTGACACAGTAACAGAGGGATTGAGGCCTGCTCAGTGAGTTTACATGTTAGAGGGAGTGGGGTATAGTGACACAGTAACAGAGGGATTGAGGGCCCTGCTCAGTGAGTTTACACGTTAGAGGGAGTGGAGTATAGTGACAGTAACAGAGGGATTGAGGGCCCTGCTCAGTGAGTTTGCATGTTAGAGGGAGTGGGGTATAGTGACACAGTAACAGAGGGATTGGGGGTCTGCTCAGTGAGTTTACATGTTAGAGGGAGTGGGGTATAGTGACACAGTAACAGAGGGATTGAGGGCCCTGCTCAGTGAGTTTACATGTTAGAGGGAGTGGGGTATAGTGACACAGTAACAGAGGGATTGAGGGCTCTGCTCAGTGAGCTTACATGTTAGAGGGAGTGGGGTATAGTGACACAGTAACAGAGGGATTGAGGGCCCTGCTCAGTGAGTTTCCATGTTAGAGGGAGTGGGGTATAGTGACACAGTAACAGAGGGATTGAGGGCCTGCTCAGTGAGTTTACATGTTAGAGGGAGTGGGGTATAGTGACACAGTAACAGAGGGATTGAGGCCTGCTCAGTGAGTTTACATGTTAGAGGGAGTGGGGTATAGTGACAGTAACAGAGGGATTGAGGGTCCTGCTCAGTGAGTTTACATGTTAGAGGGAGTGGGGTACAGTGACACAGTAACAGAGGGATTGAGTGCCCTGCTCAGTGAGTTTACATGTTAGACGGAGTGGGGTATAGTGACAGTAACAGAGGGATTGAGGGTCCTGCTCAGTGAGTTTACATGTTAGAGGGAGTGGGGTATAGTGACACAGTAACAGAGGGATTGAGGGCATGCTCAGCGAGTTTACATGTTAGAGGGAGTGGGGTATAGTGACACAGTAACAGAGGGATCGAGGGCCTGCTCAGTGAGTTTACATGTTAGAGGGAGTGGGGTATAGTGACACAGTAACAGAGGGATTGAGGGTCCTGCTCAGTGAGTTTACATGTTAGAGGGAGTGGGGTATAGTGACACAGTAACAGAGGGATTGAGGGCCTGCTCAGTGAGTGTACATGTTAGAGGGAGTGGGGTATAGTGACACAGTAACAGAGGGATTGAGGGCCTGCTCAGTGAGTTTACATGTTAGAGGGAGTGGGGTATAGTGACACAGTAACAGAGGGATTGAGGGCCTGCTCAGTGAGTTTACATGTTAGAGGGAGTGGGGTATAGTGACACAGTAACAGAGGGATTGAGGTCCTGCTCAGTGAGGTTACATGTTAGAGGGAGTGGGGTATAGTGACACAGTAACAGAGGGATTGAGGGTCCTGCTCAGTGAGTTTACATGTTAGAGGGAGTGGGGTATAGTGACACAGTAACAGAGGGATTGAGGGCCTGCTCAGTGAGTTTACATGTTAGAGGGAGGGGGGTATAGTGACACAGTAACAGAGGGATTGAGGGCCTGCTCAGTGAGTTTACATGCTAGAGGGAGTGGGGTGTAGTGACACAGTAACAGAGGGATTGAGGGCCTGCTCAGTGAGTTTACATGCTAGAGGGAGTGGGGTATAGTGACACAGTAACAGAGGGGTTGAGAGCCCTGCTCAGTGAGTTTACATGTTAGAGGGAGTGGGGTATAGTGACACAGTAACAGAGGGATTGAGGGCCCTGCTCAGTGAGTTTACATGTTAGAGGGAGCAGGGTATAGTGACACAGTAACAGAGGGATTGAGGCCCTGCTCAGTGAGCTTATATGTTAGAGGGAGTGGGGTATAGTGACAGTAACAGAGGGATTGAGGGCCTGCTCAGTGAGTTTACATGTTAGAGGGAGTGGGGTATAGTGACACAATAACAGAGGGATTGAGGGCCTGCTCAGTGAGTTTACATGTTAGAGGGAGTGGGGTATAATGACAGTAACAGTGGGATTGAGGGCCTTGCTCAGTGAGTTTACATGTTAGAGGGAGTGGGGTATAGTGACACAGTAACAGAGGGATTGAGGGCCTGCTCAGTGAGTTTACATGTTAGAGGGAGTGGGGTATAGTGACACAGTAACAGAGTGATTGAGGGCCCTGCTCATTGAGTTTACATGTTAGAGGGAGTGGGGTATAGTGACACAGTAACAGAGGGATTGAGGTCCTGCTCAGTGAGTTTACATGTTAGAGGGAGTGGGGTATAGTGACACAGCAACAGAGGGATTGAGGCCCTGCTCAGTGAGTTTACATGTTAGAGGGAGTGGGGTATAGTGACACAGTAACAGAGGGATTGAGGGCCTGCTCAGTGAGTTTATATGTTAGAGGGAGTGGGGTATAGTGACACAGTAACAGAGGGATTGAGGGCCTGCTCAGTGAGTTTACATGTTAGAGGGAGTGGGGTATAGTGACAGTAACAGAGGGATTGAGGCCCTGCTCAGTGAGTTTATATGTTAGAGGGAGTGGGGTATAGTAACACAAAGGGTATAAGTATATTGTATATACACTAAGGAATCTTGCTAAGAAATACAGGTATCTATTTCACTGATCATATACTGGCTCCACTCAATATCAGATATAAGGAAATATAGATTTTTTTATCCTTTTAAGATAAAGATAAACTAATTATCTTTATTTTTATGTTGGTGGAACAGAAAGCAAAAGTTGTATTAGGTCCATTTATTATATTTAGGGATAAACACAAAGCTAAATTCTTTAAATGTCAAGATTTTGTCTCTGCTGTGGAAGATGAGTTTATTTTAACCTTTCAGTAAACCCTTTGTATTGTCTTCACGTTTTACATAATATACCTCCAATAGTAAAGGTTTAAAGCCAGTTTCCGTTTACTACAATCCTTACTATAATATTAATAACAGAATGTTATTATATATTATATTACTATACAGTTAATGACAGTATATTAATGTGCATTATATTACAATACCATTAATGACAGTACACACTTTTGTTGGATTATATTACAGAGACAGAGGGTCATAATCCCACTCACACTAACTATATTTCACCATAATCCCACTAATACTATCTATATCATTTTCATAATCCCACTAACACTATCCATATCTCACCATAATCCCACTAACACTATCTATATCATTTTCATAATCCCACTAACACTATCTATATGATTTTCATAATCCCACTTGCGCTATCCATATCTCATCATAATCCCACTAACACCATCTATTTCTCTCCATAATCCCACTCACACTATACATATCTCACCGTAATCCCACTCACACTATCCATATAATTTTCTTCATAATCCCACTCACACTATACATATCTCACCATAGTCCCACTCATACTATCTATATAATTTTCTTCATATTCCCACTAACACTACCTATATCTCACCATATTCCCACTAACAGGCTGTATCTGTATCTCAACCCTGTATCTGTATCTCAAGCAATCTTTACTATCCCTGTATCTGATTCTATTTTTACTTTCCCTGTATCTCAAACTAACTTTACTAACCCGATATCTGTATCTTACTCTAACGTTACTAACCCTGTATCTGTATTTCAACCTAACTTTACTATCCCTGTATCTCAAACTAATGTTACTAACTCTGTATCTATATATCAACATATCTTTATTAACCCTGTATCTGTATCTCAGCCTAATTTTACTAACCCTGTATCTGTATTTTAACCTAACTTTACTATCCCTTTATCTTACTCTAACTTTACTAACCCTGTACCTCATCCTAACTTTACTATCCCTGTGTCTCAAACTAACTTTACTATCCCTGTATCTCAAACTAACTTTACTAACTCTTTATCTATATATCATCTTAACTTTACTTTCTCTGTATCTCAAACTAACTTTCCTAACCCTGTATCTGTATCTCAACCTAACTTTACTATCCCTGTATCTCAAACTAACTTTACTAACTCTTTATCTATATATCATCTTAACTATACTTTCTCTGTATTTCAAACTAACTTTACTAACCCTGTATCTGTATCTCAACCTGACTTTACTAACCCTGGATCTTAAACTAACTTTACTAACCATGTGTCTATATATCACCCTAACTTTACTAACCATGTGTCTATATATCACCCTAACTTTACTAACCATGTGTCTATATATCACCCTAACTTTACTAACCATGTATCTATATATCACCCTAACTTTACTATCCCTGTATCTATATCTCATCCTAACTTTACTAACCCTACATCTGTATCTCAACCTAACTCTACTAACCCTCTATCTGTATCTAAACTTAACTCTACTAACCCTCTATCTGTATCTAAACCTAACTTTACTAACCCTGTGTGTGTAACACAACCTAACTCTACTAACCCTCTATCTGTATCTAAACCTAACTTTACTAACCCTGTATGTGTAACACAACCTAACTTTCCTAACCTTGTATTTGTATCTCAACTTAACTTTACTAACCTTGTATCTGTATCTCACCCTAACTTTACTAATCCTGTATCTCACTCTAACTTTACTAACCTTGTATCTTTAACTCAAGCTAACTTTACTAACCTTGTATCTGTATCTCACCCCAACTTTACTAATCCTGTATCTCACTCTAACTTTACTAACCTTGTATCTGTAACTCAAGCTAACTTTACTAACCTTGTATCTGTATCTCACCCTAACTTTACTATTCCTGTAGCTGTATCTTAATCTAACATTAATAACTCTATATCTCATACTAATATAATAAAGTATCTGTACATCACCATAATTGTATTAACTCTGCAGCTCACGCAATAACATAGTATCTGTATCTCAGCCTAATCTAACACGGTATCTGGACATATCACACTAATTTTACTAACCCAATATCTAAAACTGTTCTTACAGTAACTGTATCTCAGCCTAATTTAATACAGTAACTATACAGCAGCCTTATCTAGCACAGTATCTATAACTCGCCCTAATTTTACTAATCCAGTATTTCACCTTAATCTAACACTGCATCTGTACCTTGTCCTAATTTTACCAACCCCATATCTCAACTCAATCTAACACAGTATCGATACCTCACCCTAATTATACTAACACTATATCTCAACTTACTCTAGCACAGTGTCAATACCTCATCCTAATTATACCAACACCATATCTCAGCCCAATCTAGCACAGTATTGATACCTCATGCTAATTATACTAACACCATATCTCAGCCCAATCTAGCACAGTATTGATACCTCATGCTAATTATACTAACACCATATCTCAGCCCAATATAGCACAGTATTGATACCTCATGCTAATTATACTAATACCATATCTCAACTTAACCTAACACAGTATCGATACCTCATCCTAATTATACTAATACCACATCTCAACTCAATCTAGCACAGTATCGATACCTCAGCCTAATTATACTAACACCATATCTCAACCCAATCTATCACAGTATCGATACCTCACCCTAATTATACTAACACCATATGTCAACTCAGTCTAGCACAATATCGATACCTCATCCTAATTATACCAATACCATATTTCAACTTAAAGGGACAGTATAGTCACCAGAACAACTACAGCTTAATGTAGTTGTTCTGTTGAGTATAATAGTTCCCTTAAGGCTTTCTTCATGTAAACCCAGCCTTTTACATTGCCTCTAGGGACACCTCCAAGTGGCCACTCCTTAGATGGCCACTGGACGTGCTTCCTGGGTCAGTGCTGCCGAAAAAGCAGCACTGACATTCAACGTCCCCATGCTATGCGGAGGTCCTGATTGTCCAAAACGGCATTTGGCCCTGCCCCGTGCCGGTTTTAGCAAATCAAATGCTTTCCTCATGGGAAAGCATTAAATTGGCTAAAAATCAGCCACTCTGATTATGTTACAAAGGGGGCAGAGCCCGTGCTGGCAGCTGGAAATAAGGTGAGTTTTAAACTTTTATAGGGGGACTAAGTGGGGGGGCAAGCAACCTAAATGGTGGGTTAAACACTATAGGGTCAGGAATCCAATGCTTTCTCATAATTATACTAACACCGTATCTCAACCCAATCTAGCACAATATTGATACCTCACCCTAATTATACTAACACCATATCTCAACCCAATCTGGCACAGTATCGATACCTCATCCTAATTATACTAACACCATATCTCAACCCAATCTAGCACAGTATCGATACCTCATCCTAATTATACTAACACCATATCTCAACCCAATCTAGCACAGTATCGACACCTCATCCTAATTATACTAACACCATATCTCAACCCAATCTAGCACAGTATCGATACCTCATCCTAATTATACTAACACCATATCTCAACCCAATCTAGCACAGTATCGATACCTCATCCTAATTATACTAACACCATATCTCAACCCAATCTAGCACAGTATCGATACCTTATCCTAATTATACTAACACCATATCTCAACTCAGTCTAGCACAGTATCGATACCTTATCCTAATTATACTAACACCATATCTCAACTCAGTCTAGCACAGTATCGATACCTCATCCTAATTATACTAACACCATATCTCAACCCAATCTAGCACAGTATCGATACCTCATCCTAATTATATTAACTCTGTATCCCCCGTAACACATTATCTGTATCTCACGTTGATTATATTTACCCTGTATCTCACCCAAATATAACACAGTAACCGTATCGCATCCCAATCCCCCTGGCTGACATCACGGGGGCCAAGCCAAGGTCCAATCAAAGGCTTATTATAGAGAAGCTTTTGATTGAATGATTTAATGGGCTCAGAGCACATCCTTGCACTCTGGATCCACAAGATGAAGAATAAAAGAGGAGGAGGGAAGGCAGGAAGGGCTACAATCAGTGTGGGAGGGAAGGCAAACAAGAGCTTCCCCTTGCAGACCCTGCTTTTAAGGGAGAAGCAGTTACGTCTGTCGGCAGCGTGCAGTGATCGCTGACGACAGATGTGTTTAGTGCATAGAATTAACATTAGGTTCCTAATAAAGGATGGAACTTGAAACAGTATCCTGCACATCCTGGTTCCTACCGCCATGACCACTTCAAAAAGCTAACGTGGTGGTTGGGGTATCCCTTTAAGTCCTAAAATTACAGCTCAGGCAGGGGTTGGAATCAGGCAATAGGTGGAGAAGACTGCTTGAAGTATTGATATAATTTTCCAGTTGCCTGCAGTTCCTGTCAGGGTAATTTGCCAAGTGAGCTCTCTTGGAAATATGACTTCATACAAAAAAAATGTTTTCACCCATTTTCACTTTACTTGCAGCACAGGTAAATAACTCAATGGGCAAGTTGGAGTGTTGAGATCCTGAGTACGGGTTTTACAAGCTTGCTAGTCCTCTAGTCTACCAAAAACTATTAAAACAGGCTGACTACAATTTAAATATTTATATTATAAGCTGCCCTAACACACATTGTCTTATTAATGCACATGCAGAAAGTAATAGTTAACAGTGACATATTAATGCATACCTACAAATTCTGCCTTTATCAACTAATGTGCAGAATCCTGACAATATATAATTTAATCAACAACATTCTTAATGGGTTATGAGAAACATGCAGGCTTACATTCTAATGTATTGTCATCATAACGACAGCTGGCAAACTGACCACAAGATACTTTGTAACAACTTATTTATTCTGCAAAAGTATATTTAGCACACCAACAGTTTTATGAATTCTACAACGTCATGATTTTGCCGCAAGAGAACTTCATCCGTGTTCTCATCTAGATTAAAAAAAATTCTGGTCAGAGTGACAAAACGTCTGAAAACCAAATTATAACCCTGTACCTATAGAGGGCAAATATACTTCTCTTTTTTTTTTTTTTTCCTCTCTCTCTTTGTGTGTGTTGGAATTTTACATGCATTTTAATAAAAGCAAAAATGTGTGCTTGCGTAAAACAGTGTAAAATTGTGGGCTTCTTGATTTATTTTAAAAAAAAAATTCTGGGAGGAGGGAGAAATGTAGATAAAACAAATTAACCATTATTGTGCTGGGAGCCGCTTCAACTGGTGCAATTTTATTTCTCTTCCATAATCAGGGACACTGACCTTATAAGCTAAGAGTGTTATTGTAAAACATGCACACAACCTACTCTGTAATGAACCTTGCACTGTAATGGTTAGTATTATAAATTAATAAAATGTCAAGACTCATTTTTGAATTTTTGATTATATCTGGAAATTAAGCTTTTTGTACACTGTTAAGAAAATGGCATTGTCGTTTGTTATTGTGTTAATCGTACTCATGCATTAATACCTTGCTTGCGGGATGGTGTGTATATCTGTGAATGATGTTTAGCTCCACTCTGGGTAGGTATATTTGGAACATGATGGTTCTATGTATCTCTGCTCAAAATAGGAGAATAGTAAATGGCTCTGCTCACTCCCTGTCGAATAGGAACATTGTCTAAACCAGTGGTATTGTTCTCCCCCTTCCAGCCAGTCTCGGCCCCTTAACATCCACCGGACAATACACGAAAAACGGTCAGTCTTTCTTATTCCACCTCAATTTTATCAGACGTTTAGAGTTTAGTGGATGTTACAAGGCAATTTAAATCATGTACAAACGTACCCTTCCGAATATTTAGGTTTCATACAGTTTCAGTAATGTAAAAGCATATAATCAGGACTCGACCTCTGAAAGCAGTTATTTTAACTTTTTTTTTATTCCGTTATGACTGTAGGTGATTGCATGATGAATGTAATAAAACATTTATTTTATATTTGTGTTGATACAGAACTTACAAAGTATTGAATAAATAGGGATCTATGTGATATTCAAATGAAAACGTGACATTATTGTGATATGTCTTTCACTGCAACTACTTGCATACCGTGGAATAATGGCCTACAGGTTTATTAATATAAAAATAATTATGCCAGATTTGTTGAAAAAAAATTTCAGCACTGCAATTTACACCTACAGTTCAAAGTAATTCACACTTAGTAAATAAATCCCTTACAGTAATTAGAAGAAAATAATTATAAGTCCCAACATCCCTTTTAAATTGTGTATAATATGAAACATAGCAAAGTATTTATAGAATGATTAGTCCAAAATTCATTACTTAGTGTGATACAATTCAGTTTTTACCAAAATGAATACGTTCCTGCAATGTTTGGTTTGTGTGACTTGGCTATTTTTAATTTTCTAACCCACCATTTTGATTAAGGATCAGCCTATAAGTTTCTTTCAACTCACAGCTTCTTTCACTGAAACTGAGTAAAAGTAAAAAAAAAAATATTATATTATATTAGCTATTTCGGGCCTAAGTTTAATATTTTTGGGTAAGCTATTCAGATGATTTAATATTTTTAGATAAACTTTTAAAATGGTATTTTCAAAATGTTAAAATAATTGAGATATATATCAAAAAAGTTAAATATTTTTTTTCACATTATTAAATCATTTTAAAATGTTATCCAAAAATATTAAATCATCTAAAAAGCGTATTCAAAAATATTAAATCAGGGCCTCAGTTGGGATTATTCACGGAATATTGAATTATGGTGAAATCAAAACCATTTAGTAAAATTTTGGCTATGATAATTGAGTTGAAAGAACTCTTCAATTTTAGCTCTGTTAGCCTAAAGGTTTACTCACTAAACTGTTACTTGGGGTGAATAAAAAAAAAAAAAAAAAAAGAATGAGTAGAATTTCAAAATGTTGACCATTTACTTATCATCAAAATCTGAAAGTTTTTAAGAGTAAATATCTTCTAAATTGCTTTTACTTTATCCCAGCCTTATTTTTTTTTTTTTTAAATGTGTTTAGGGGTGTGTTTTCCGATTCATTTTTCTTATTAATACTTAGGGTTTCTCTCTAACTTTCTTTTTATCCTAAATTCTATGGCCTGAGGAGGTGCAGAATAATTCAAAGGTCAAGTTATGATGTGGTTAAACTAATAAACAAATATCCGATGAAATGCTGTCTAGTTTGGGGATTAGATGTGTGTTATATCAGTGGCAGTATTGGACTATTTAGAGGGAGCAGAAGAGTACTGATAACCGATGGAGAGGGGTGGCTATCAAAATATCGTTTTTCTTTTTTACATCTTCGCAACCTATTCGATTTCTCCTCAGCTACCCATAATCCAAAAAAACAAAGGGTTATAATTACTAAATACATAAAATAGCATGCAAGATGTGTGGTGGTGGTGTCTGATGAGCAGTTCTGTAAAGCTGGGAGCATCTTATCACATGAACAGCACAGGTACCACTAATTCTACAAGGGCACAAACATGTACTGTAGCAGTTTCCTGTCTTAACACTCTGTCCATTGCAGCTAAGACAGGGCTGGGCAATTGCATCTCTCCAACTCTTAATGATTCCAGTTTTCATCACTCTCATTGATTTGTATGAGAACTCGTTTAAGTCACTCAATTCCTTCGTGCATTTACTGGTGACAGCGTAGAACCCCCACAAAATTATAACTAAGACCTACTGATTAAAACTTGCCCATTACCTTGTTAAAACCAATCCTTCACGGAATGTCGCCACTCACGGATACATTTTGAAGGTATGCTGTGTCATTTGCCAGGTTCCTAGCTTAGCTGATGAGAGTTGCAGTTCAAAAGTTGCATTTTAGCAGTTGCCCAAGTGTGTGTTAATGCCGCTTTAGTGGCCTTTCACACCTATGCCAACGCAGTTTATGTGAGTCCATGCAGTTTGTCCTCCGTCTTTCCACCTGTTTTCCGTAGGAGCATATTGTGTTTAACCCCTTCCCAGCTGAAAAGGACTTGCAATACACACCGCACTGCAGCCCTTTTCATCCACAAGGTTGAAGCCATTTCCCTATGTACTGTAATTTTATTTGGTTTTATAAAACATCATGGTTATTCTCTCTATTTATTTTTTTAATTCTCTAGTCTGAACGCAAAAACATTTATTAATTTGACTTTTCTTATACAATGTGTAATGTTGTGTTGTCCAAATTATGTATAAAAAATATGTATATGATGTATCTGATATTTGACAGCGAGAAGCTGTGATTTTAACCAGTATAACTAAACAAAGAAATGCATAAAGTTGATGTGAAAAAAAATAAATAAAAACTAAAAATTTGAAAAAAAAAATATATAAATAGTTAAAATGTTTGTGTAATCTTGCATGGCTAAAATGTACCCAGTGCATTGAGAAATGTCGTTCAGGTCCTAAGTGAAAGGATGGTTTAATTTTGAATTTTAAAACAACAAAACAGTGATTGATTTGTTAACCAGAAACCCTCTTACTGATAATGTATGTCTCAGTTAAATTATCATTAATTTTTAATAGATATGTTTTTTTATTTCAACTCAAAATTCCAGCATAATGTATCTATGTGTAATAATGTTCCTTAAAACCAGGTTGTGGTAAATTTTTATTTAATTTTGCTATAAACATGTCCACAAAAAAATTTTTAATTTCCGATTTCGTCCCATTATGTTACTTGGTGATTTGGCCCAGTTATAAAGCTACAGACACTCCTGTGCAGAATGGTTTGCAAAGTGCTATCACTTAATTCCTACTCCATAACTGCTTTATCTCATTAAAGTGATTATTGTCCCTGGCAGCCCATGCCTGGGCAAATTAGGAAGCATTGGCTTAAAAAGCCTGAAATTGTCAGCTGATTTAATTCAGCCTATCACATCACCTAATTGCAGGTATGTATTGGTATGGCTACAAGGAAGTGTGTAATCTCTGTCATAGCCACACCTCCAGTGGGGGCCGGGCAATGGGAAGCCAGACACCCTCTTTTAGTGTTAAACTGCTCGAAAAGATTTTAGCACTTAATAGGGGGACAGCACCAGGGGTCTCCAGGTATCATAAACAGTTCAATTAAATGAAATGGTTATAGTATCTACAGTGTCCCTTTAAGAAGATGGACAGATATCTCGTAGGGTAGCAGTTATTTTATGGTGATGTCACAAGCGCCAAGTGGGTGGGGTAAAACAGTTCTGTATATTCTCCACCTATTTACACACGTCTCAACCACGTCTAGCATATACCTTTAGTATAAATATTACAATTATTATTTTTTAAAGATATTGATTTTTAATGGGACGCTTGGTGGAGATAATATCTGTGCCATGGGATATAAATTTGGATAGGATTAACATTTTTTTTAATGTACACTACACTAAGCAATAGCACTCTCTGCCGTTTCAGCTATCAGTTGGAGAGTAATGAGATCACTTTCTTTTTATGCTGCTAAGGGACAAAAAGATACCATAAACGTGGGAAAGGTGGGCATGGCCCAAAACATGCCTAATCATGCCTACTCACAGAATTATTCATCTGGAAGCAGCGAGGTCGGGTGGAGATAGGAACACTGTTATCATTTTTTGTATCAGGTTGTAAGTATTTCCCTTTTTTTATTCCGATGGAGATACAAACAAAAGCTGGAATGTTGCTGGTTTGGGAACCACTGTTTTAAACTCTGGAACTCCCATCAATCAAATTCCATATTGTTAAGGTTAACCATATATGGCCAACACAAACCACAACTAAAAGCCATCTAATCCTTCCTCCTGGATGCCATTATACTTAAGAAGTTTTTTTTTTGTTTTGTTTTTTTTTTTTAACTTGATTAATACATTATATAAAACATTCTTTGATAACATAAAGATATTGAAATAAATTCAAAATTAGAAAATCTGAAAATCCAAGGCACAATATTGTAATATAATAGTCTTAGTAATTGTCCACTTCTATGACTACACGGGGATGTAATACAATATATATTGTGACAATGAGTGATGGGCGGTTATCCTGTAAGATTAGAAAATAAAACACAGACATTAACAAGATAGCAAAGGATGTCTCTAGTTCATGCACAATATTAGCAGAAAATGATGGAATTTTGATGTTATGGCTCAAAATATTAGCAACAAGGCATCGAATTCTTGAACAGGAGAGTGGAACAGAGTCCCTGTATGTGAGGTCTATGCTCCGTGAAATCGGATGCACAAGTCATTAATGACTAAGTGATTTACATCTCAGGTAAGAAGAGATTTTACAGGCTACCCTCAAACACACTCAATATATATCATCATATAGTTTATCAGAAAGAAACAGTAACGTGTAGATACAGGAAGTTCCCCCCAAACGAGCTAAAGACAGGTGGTGTGTCAAGAAAAAAATCTGGGTTTTTGGAGCCTACATTTAGAAAAATTAAAGAAAATAGGATGCAGTTTGCATTTAAATATTTTTTTTAAGATAGACCTATGGTTCGTATTATTTAGGGAACTATAAATCGGGATAAGAAAAAATCGGATGGGTTAAAACTAATTTACGATTGTGTAATTACCTGGACATTAGCACAAGGGGTTCTAAGAGACCTGCTTTCATTTACTGTTATTATTGTTATTATTATCATTTATATCGGAGTTTCGAGAGTTCTAGAGAGCACAAACAAATATAGATCCCACAGTGGAATTTCTAAGCAAATGCTTCAATTCAATTATCCACAAGAAAAATTGATGTTAAGAGCCGCTAGATACAATAAAAACCTTCCCAAGTTTTAAAACATCGCACAAGACATAAAATAAAATAAAGTCTGTATCAGCGCTTAGTTAATATACCCCTATTTTAAAACATTGGGGTCAAGTAAAGAGTTCCAATTTCAGTCTTTGTGTGGGTATTTCCAAATGTCCTCAGGGATTGATAACTGCAACAATAACCAATGCTTGAAATCTGTGTCTTTACAAGTATCCAAACTTAAATAGAAAAGACATAGCGTAATTCTGTTACAGTTTAATTTCCCATACGAAAATCCCCAATAAGAAGAACTCTTACAATAAAATGTTGTGAAACTTATAAGAGTCACAATAAAAGTTTGTGTTGTACAGAGTATAAGCCAGAAAGATGGTTGTTACCGCTCCGTGGATGTAAACTTTCAAACCGATCTTGTGCTCTCAGATCGATCTTCACAGGAACGCCGACTAACCGATACTGCTGTGATCACCGCAAATTCAAAAATCCCACCAAAACACGATCCATGCGTTTCACCCGTTAGATCGGGCTTTCTCAAGATGAAGTGTTTTGGGGGATTGTAGTCATGTATATACACCATTCAATTAAAAATCATCTGGTGTATTGGATTTTCTTATAAGTCCTTACATTTATGTAATTATGGTTCCTTCTTCATCATTGATACCACATATATACATTAACTGTCACACTTTACAATTCACATTATTATGAACGTGCATATACAGTCAGAGTACAAATCGCAGATCAAGATTTCATGCAGAATATTAGTTCTAAATTCGTGAATTAACTTAGTGAACAATTAACTGCATTAAATAACTTAAAACAAACAATCTTTATTTCTAACGGAACCACTCAGTTCCGATCAACTAAGATATAGCTCATTGCGATATCTATATATCATATATTCTGTACTCTCGAAATTCATCCACTATCCGGGTTTGCAGCCAATTTTTAGACTTCAATAAGTCTAATAGGGATCATTAGACCAAATGAAGTCTAAAAGCCTGTAGATGTCAACAGCTTCATCTGGACATCTAGCTGCCGTTTTCCCTCCTGGCTTCAAAGTGTCCCTTACAGCCAATTTTTAAGAATTAAAAATAACTGTACAGAGGAAAGAGTTTATATCGACCAACTAAAAAAAGTGAAAGCCCAGTTCATAGAAAAAGATTACGACCTGGATCTACCTGATAACGCAACAGAGAAAGTTTCAAATATCACTAGGATGAAGATTTTGGCACCAAAAGAAAAGAGGGGAAATATAGATAACGATAATTTTTTCTGTCCCCTTATTTTTAATTTTAATCCCCAGACTAGTTACATTAAGAAGGCGGTACTAAAAAAGTGGGACTTAAAATTAACAAAAGTACAATCACTGTAAATAAGTTGTGTAACCTACAGTGTACTAAGCTATTACACTCCAATGTAACTGCAATGTTTGCTACCCCACCCCTTATCTTCATTCTGTACCCCAACTTCTTTGAAAAACCACCAAAATAAAGAATTTACAAAAAAATAAAAAATTGGGACTTGCTCAAACAAGACCAATTATTGGCACCAATACTACCATCCAAACCAAAAATGATATCTCTAAAAGATAAACTAGTGCATAGCTACATTAGACCATCCCCTGAAAAACATTTTTTAGATTCATATACAGGTTTTTTAAATGTCACATTTTAGTGTAAGTAATCTTGAACTGCCTTATATTGCATTTTAGTTTCTGTGCATTATTTGGATATACGAGATAATCTTATCTAGCATTTAATACTAACCTGCTGCCAGACCATAATTTGGTGTAAGGGCAGAGAAGATTCTCCTAACTCAGTGGATGCTATGCAATTATAGAATTTGGGGAATAGTGGGACACATTACGTACTTAGCATGAACAGCCACTTTTTCTGACTGTTAGGGATCAGAAGAATGATCTCTATTAGACTTATTGAAGTCTAAAAATTGGCTGCAGAACCGGATAGTGGATGAATTTCGAGAGTACAGAATATATGATATATAGATATCGCAATGAGCTATATCCTTAGTTGATCGGAACTGAGTGGTTCCGTTAGAAATAAAGATTGTTTGTTTTAAATTATTTAATGCAGTTAATTGTTCACTAAGTTAATTCACGAATTTAGAACTAAAATTCTGTATGAAATCTTGATCTGTGATTTGTATTCTGACTGTATATGCACGTTCATAATAATGTGAATTGTAAAGTGTGACAGTTAATGTATATATGTGGTATCAATTATGAAGATGGAACCATAATTACATAAATGTAAGGACTTATAAGAAAATCAAATACACCAGATGATTTTTAATTGAATGGTGTATATATGTTACAGTTAAAGTGCAGAAATCAGTTAATGTGCACATTACCTAGTTAATGTGCACATTAACTAGGCTGATCAGTTAAAGTGCAGAAAATTGTTTAATTTCTCAAAGATTTCTCACATTACCTAGGTAATCTGCACATTAACTAGTAGGCACTAGTTAAAGTGATTTTTTTTTATTTGGGCTTGGGTTAGCAAGTTAGTACAGTCAAACAAGAATCAAGTTAACATAATGTTATTTATTTAGCAACAAAGAAGCAAGTTTCTGTTACAAAACTGCAATAGAAATAATCAAACGATTAAGGAAATGAATTTGCTAAACAAACATATTATAAAACTATGCTTAATTATTAGTGCAATCTAAAGATTGGTGACACTTTGAATTACACAGCAATTGGTTTTTGTGACAAGCACATCTATTTGTGGTACATTTCGATTTGCAGTCACATTTTTGGAAACCCTGCCCAGTACCAAGGGATTGTTTGATTTCTGTTTGACGTAAAGGGACATCTTCTTTCGTTAAAAATCTCTCTTTGCAAACCCTGAATTCCGATTTGGCATACAATTGCTTCAAAATACCCGTTTTAGTACCAAGTTTATAAAATCCATCATCTGTTTTACTAAGAACCACAGCTAAAATCGAGCGGCATCAGTTTTTGCTCTATCCACTTCGGGTACTTTAATTCTCACAGTGACACCTTCGTCAACATTTGGCTGCTTTGCATTAGAAACTGCTAACATTTTCTTTGCCTGCTTTTCTAAACCTTTCTTGGATTCATCACACTGTCTTTTCTGATCCAGATTCTTTTTACAGATGTTGCACAAGACATTCTTACCATACCCTTTCTTATTAGGATCGTTTTCACCGCAAATTACGTGAACAAACATAGCGCACGAATTACACTTGTGAGCACCTGATGCTGCTTTTGAGCAAACAATACAGACCATGTCTTGTATAGTCTTCTTTACAGGCTCTGTATGAAACTGTGATGGTGATTCTGTCGAAGTTGAGGGTAACTCAGTGATGACTTCTTCAACATGCAGAGGTGGTAGGGTAACTGAATATTCTTCATAACTGTATCCTCAATCAACGGTGTAGAAGGCAGTTTAAGTTTACTATCGAGAAAAGCTTGTCTTTCTATAGGCGATTCTGTAGAAGCAGGGGATAACGGAATGTCCTCTTGAATCAGATTTGACTGTGATCCCATCATCACAGTCTCTTGTGAATCTTCTAAGTTTTCAAGGTCTTCTTCAGTATTTATCGAATGTAATACACTCTGTGGTATAATAGAAGAAGACAATCCCACTTTTGTGGGACAACCGAACATGGCTTCGTATGGACTTCTTTGAATTTCAGAATGATAGGCACGATTCTTCATGAATTGTACAAATCGAACGCCCTCACTCCACTTGTTAGTTTGGTTATCAGCCATCCAAGTAGTGAGCATGTTTTCAATGTCTTGATTCGCTCGTTCAACACTTCCTTGACTTTGGCTGTGTCTAGGTTTGCCATTAACCATTTTGATTTTTGGCCACAACTGTGTTACACTTTCTAAGATTTTATTACAAAATTTGCGGCCGTTATCGGAATGTAAAATACTTGGAGCGCCAAAAAGGAGAAAAATATCAAGCAAGTTATAGGCTACTTCATCTGCCCATTTTGATGTGAGCGGTTTCTATACGAAAAATTTAGTTAAGTGGTCTTGGTACACGAGAAGAAACTTGAACTTTCCATCGGGTTGAGATTGGTAATCGATGAGATCCACCTGGCATCTGCTAGTGAAATGCGATGAAATAATCAGCTTGACAACAATCCCTTTTTTAAAGCTTTTTTGTTTTTGTTGACAAGGTTCGCATGAATCCAGAAACATTTTGTATTTGGGCTTGGGTTATGTTTGTATAAAGTGTATTTAATTGCGTGATCATTCTGTCTCTTCCACCGTGGCCAATCGACAAATGAGTAGAATACAATATGTAAAACAATTCGTCAGCATGGACAAACTTTTTCACACTTTCTTGCGCACCTGACAATGGCACAATGAGTTTTTCGCAGCCTTGTACAGTCAACACATCATAACGTTCAATTAGTCAATAATCTTGAGCTGATTCTTTCTTCTTGCAAAGTTTGATTCGCTTTACATCTTCAATTATCGAATCATACTTTCGTTTTTTCATTAAAACACTATTATATTTCGAATCTTCGCTAAAGAGCTTTGCCAAGAATCTTTTCTTCATTTTACTCAACAATTATGTGCTAGGAGTTAAATTTATCTGTTTTCAAACTGGCAGCTAGGAGTTAAAACTGGCAGCCAATGCAAATTATGAGGAAAGCAAATTATGAGGCAGGCAAATTATGTGACTGAGAAAAGGTTTTGAAAATGAAACAGTAATGCTGGATTTTCCTGCATTAAATGCAGACTTTTTTTCACACTTTCTTGTTAGTGTGCAGTCACTCTATAAGAAGCTGTGTCTCTGTGAGCAATTATGAGCGGTGAAACGAGAGATATGTATTGGTCTCTGTTTCAAATTGCCATAGCAACTAGTGCACACATGGAAACCCGCGGCAAATTATGAGTCGATGGCAAAAGGAAACACGCGGCAAATTATGAGGTGGCGGCAGCCGTTAGTATGCACATTACCTAGTTAAAGTGCGGAAATTTCTTGATCCCACACTTTAACTGAGCAAATCAGTTAATGTGCACATTAACTAGGTAATGTGCACATTAACTGATTTATCACTTTAACGGTAACATATACATGACTACAATCCCCCAAAACACTTCATCTTGAGAAAGCCCGATCTAACGGGTGAAACGCGTGGATTGTGTTTTGGCTGGATTTTTTAATTTGCGGTGATCACAGCAGTATCGGTTAGTCGGCGTTCCTGTGAAGATCGATCTGAGAGCACAAGATCGGTTTGAAAGTTTACATCCACGGAGCGGTAACAACCATCTTTCTGGCTTATACTCTGTACAACACACACTTTTATTGTGACTCTTATAAGTTTCACAACATTTTATTGTAAGAGTTCTTCTTATGGGGGATTTTCGTATGGGAAATTAAACTGTAACAGAATTACGCTATGTCTTTTCTATTTAAGTTTGGATACTTGTAAAGACACAGATTACCAGCATTGGTTATTGTTGCAGTTACCAATCCCTGAGGACATTTGGAAATACCCACACAAAGACTGAAATTGGAACTCTTTACTTGTCAATTTTCTTTGTTGACTCCAATGTTTTAAAATAGGGGTATATTAACTAAGCGCTGATACAGACTTTATTTTATCACTTATATCGTGCCAACATATTACGCAGCGCTTTACAATTCTAAAATGGGGATATTTAACATCAAGTAAGTTACATATGCAAGAACGAGCAGATTTCAAGAGTCAATGAAAAGGGGTCTGTTTGTTGAGTAAAGAGGAGTGGACCCAGATTCTTACATTTCATGAACTAGAAATCGCCTGAAATGTTTTTCTGTTTGAATACTACACATGCTATAGTAACCTCCTATCTATGCTGTAACCTTGTTTATACATGCAGAGTGCTATCATTTAAAGCAGCAGCTTTTGCTGTGTGTCCACAAAAGCTCAGCTAGTTCCTGGTCTTGGCAGAACTTTGAACAAGCACTTCATTCACATCTTACCAGAGATCTGCTGAAGTAGCGGAGGACGGAAACGGTGCTCGCCGACCCCCAGATAAGAAGTTAAATTGTGTAGTGGCTATGGTGCATGAAGTGTTTCTTTAACATTTGCAGCAAACCATAGATATATATATATATAATGTGGTGATTATCTGCTATATATCTTTCTTTATCTCTACATTAAAAAGGGTGGTGATAGCTTCAGACTAGACAGACCATTTAACAGACCAATCATGGACTGTTTATTAACTTTACTCCAAATATTCAGTGGTATGCCAATGATCCTGAGATCCCTGAATGACTTGCATTTCTCATCCACTTGGGTACACAAGCTTCCTGTAACTGCCTGGTCATACAAAATATGGTCATTAGATCTTGGCAAGCCCCTCTTCTAGCCATTGATAGCTGCTTCCTAGTCCAGCTGTTGACTGGTTGTGACAGAGCTCCCATACTCCAACTGAGTATCTCTGCCAGTACAGCCTCCTAGCTGCTATCAGGGACTTTGGACCACTTGAGACCCAGTCACTGAACTTGACTTGGGTCTCTTAGGACCTCTACCACCGGACCAGGCTGCAGCTCTCTTCTCCCAGGCAGATATTGCCCCCTCTGCCTTTTCTGTTCTTTTCCAAGGCAAGTATTAACACCTTTAACTGACTTGACCTCTAATTAGTGCCTTTACATAGGCACTTGTGGCTCTTAGGCCTAGCTCTTTCTTTTACTAAGCAGCCAGCCAACAGGTCTGGAAATTCTGTTACTGGGATCCCTGAACAAAACACACAGGACACACAGTTCCCAATGGAACAAACAAACAATTCTTTATATAGGGCGAGGACTAGCCTTTGGTTACCTGTCCTTAAACATGTGGTGAAAAGCTTTCAAACTACAGATATACAGAACATTGAAGAAGAAGTGATTATCATAAATACATTAACTATTTAGTACAAGTAACATCAAATACAATAAAAAGCATCAATATATACATCTAACTACTTATTTGGTTGCCCTAATTTGCATATCAGCATTGTGTAAACGTACACATTTCAATCCAGTCAGCAGAGGGCACTGCAGAGGGAGAGAACTGCAGATAATATATCAATTGCTACCACCACAAGCACCTTTCAGGGGTCCTTAGGACCAGACCCATAGTCTGTGGGCCAGATGCTGGCCTTCAAAACTCTCCAAACGGCCATAGCATGGGAGCTTCTATCGCACTGGTCATCCTTGTAGAGGTGGTTTTTGGGAGCCTAAATGTAGAAATTTAGTAGAACCCCATGTTGACAAAGGTATTGTGTTGTGTGTACTATGACAATACTTAGTAAGCAAAACACTTTTTAGGGATTTTGCATCATAATAAATCAGACCTGTATGGGTCTCTTTCCAACATTATCTGATGCAGATGCTAATGAATAGTAAGCACAATAAGAAAATACTTTAATAATCTATTTATGAGATAGTGTCACCTAACGTAAAAGGGTACTGCCACTTACCAGTTTTTTTTTAATATGATGTTTACTTTTCACTATATCTAACAAAAATGTGTTTGTGACGTGTTAAAAATAAATATAAATGTAGAAATTCACACCTCTTTATCCAGCAATTGGGTGCCTCCATCTTGGTTTATTGTTGTTATAAGCACTGCCATTTCCTTCTGGCTGTGGGCACAGAGAAAGCATGGAGAGAAGATACATTAACCAATACATTAACACAGTGTTTGCCATGGCTTTGCCTTGTCGGAACTGCAAGGCGTTCTTTAATGCGGGGCAAACGGGGGCACCACATTTGGCCCTAGTACTCCTGAGGACCAAGGCAGCTTCCCCTTGAGCCCTGCTACCCTCAACAATTTATTTTTATCTCCCATGGGCCCACTGGTGCAGCCGTGGGCCCACACACTAAGGAGGCCCCCCGGTGGGCATGTGTCGGCAGGGGCCCTGTGGGTGCTGCACCCTTGCTTTTAAGCAGTCTAGGAGAAAGTGACAGCTGCGAATCACTTCCTCCCAGTTGCGAGTCACTTCGTCCCACAGAAAACACGGATCCACGCGGGAGGGAGGAGGAGATAGTGAGGAAGGGTGCTGGAGAACCAGACCCAAACTCCCAACAGCTTGCGGCACCACACTGGACCCCAGCGAAACCACCCTCCAGCAAAAGGTAGGAAACTGGAGGTTGGGTTTACAAATGAAAATTTTGCTTGTGCGTCAGTCTGTCTGTGTGTGTCAGTATTTCTGTTTGTGTGTGTGCCAGTATGTCTGTCAGTGTATGTGTGTGTGTCAGTATATTTGTCAGTGTATGTGTCTCTGTGTATGTGTGTCAGTATGTCTTTCAGTGTATGTATCTCTATGTCTGTCAGTGTATGTGTCTGTGTGTCAGTATGTCTGACAGTATATGTGTGTGTGTACCTGTATGTTGTCAGTATGTGTATCTGTAGTCATTGCGTGTATCTGTGAATCTGCATATGTGTGTATCAGTGTGCCTGAGTATCTGCATGTGTGTCTGGTTGTGTATCTGTTTGTATGTATGTGTATTGATGTGTCTGTATTTGCATGTGTATCAGTGTGTGTATATGTGTCTTTATATCTGCATTTGTGTCAGTGAGTATATTTGTGTATCTGCATGTGTTTCAGTGTGTGTGTGTGTGTGTGTGTGTGTATGTGTGTATCACAGTGTGTGTGGCAGTGTACGTGTATATGTGCATACACCTCTGCATTCAAACTTCAACACTACATACAAACACTCCTGCACTGAAACATCAACACTACATATAAACACACCTCTGTGTTAAACACCAAAATTATGTATAAACACACCCATGCATGCTTGCATTCAAACGCCAACACCACATAGAAACACACCCCTACATTCACACAAACATACTCCACACAAAAAACATGCTTACATTCAAACACACAAGAGCAGTGTATAGTGCTACATACATCCATGCAAGCAGTGGTGTATCCTGGTTTTGTGCTGCCCTAGGCACACACAGTCAGACACAAACACACACACACAGTCAGACACACACACACACACAGTCACACACACAGTCACACACACAGCCAGACACACACACACAGTCAGACACAAACAGACACACACAGTCAGACACACACACACAGTCAGACACACACACACAGTCAGACACAAACACACACACACACAGTCAGACACAAACACAGTCAGACACAATCACACACACAGTCAGACACACACACACACACACACATTAACACTTTTTTTTTTTTTTACCCCCCCGCCTCCTTACCTTTGGGAATGCGAGGGGGGTTCCCTCTCTCTCCATGGGGGTCCAGTGGCTGCTGGGCGGGCAGCTGGCGAGGGAGCTCTTCCTCTGAGCGGTCTGCTCAGCTCCCTCGCGCGCCAGAGTGAGGCTGGGAGCCGGAATATGACGTCATATTCCGGCTCCCAGCCTCACTCTGCGGCCCGCGAGGGAGCTGAGCAGACCGCTGAGAGGAAGAGCTCCCTCACCAGCCGCCCGCCCGAGCATCAGCCAGCACCGCCCAGCATGTCTGTTAGCTGCAAGGCTAACTAGGCATTTGCCCTGGGCATTTGGGGGTGGCGTTTTTTGCCGCCCCCTGAAAAATGCCGCCCAAGTCAAATGCCTTGTTAGCCTGGCGGCAAATACGTCCCTGCCTGCAAGCCTGGGAAAATGGTAGTGCCCCAGCTGTCAAAGCATTGTTGGAGTTACATGACAAATAGGGATCTACCTGTCAGCCACCCTTGAGATAGGAGGCCCAAAATAATTATTTCTACTTTAGTTTTACCACTGCTTTGGGGTGGAAGGTGTGTTTGCATGCCAGGGAGTAGGGGGTGAGAGGTAGGCAGGGCACAGGGGACCCAAGCACATGCTTTTCCAGGGTCCAATCAATATTTAAGATGGGCCTGCTGAACTGGATTATGATATAATTTACAAATTTTTTAGAAGAAAAAAAACCAGAGCATCTCCTAAAAAATACAATCTATAGGTAATACTTTGTAATGTTTTATTACATTTTGTAAATTCTAGAGAAGCCATCGTTCCTCTTTAAACTACTAGAATGGTGCAAATCCAAAAAATAATAGTAACAAACTTGAGATTTTTTTAGCAGACCACATAAGAGGTTCTGGAAGTAAAGTGTAGATAATGATTGATAAAACATGCATTTTTATTTATATTCCATTGTACGTAGGCACATAATAAAGAATAGCTACTATATTTATTGGAAGAGAAAGACGGATTCCGTGTTTGCTGATTAACCCTTTAAATGTCATAGCAGTAAGCAATTCAAAAAGAATACTCATAACAGGGCTACTATCAAATCTTGGGACCCCCACAAAACCACGTCAAGACACAGATATACACATTGTCACACATGTACACACTACCACACACGTACATCAATCCACGACTTTCCTTGCCCTCCCACGCGTTTCATCTTTCTTTCTGGGCGGGAGTGATCTGATATCACTTCCTTCCAGCACTGCATCGCAGGAGATCAATGGGGGCTGTCTATACAGCTCTTGAAGGTGCCATCTCCATCAGGATGGGGGAGCCTGTACCCTGTAACGGAGTATAGACTGTCTTCCAAAGATATGCTCTTATTTTAGTAAGAGCCTTTTGGCTCACATGTGTGAAAGGCAAAATCTAAGCAGTATAACCACTACAGCTCAGTGTTTAGGAGAGGTTTCCAAAAAAAAAAATACTGCTCTCTGAGACAACCAGAGGTCAACCCCTCCTCAGTAACTTTGATTATACAGAATTAACACTTCCACAACATCAATGTCAGTTTTCTGCATCCTGAGCTGACCTACTCCCAACACTCTTGGTCCATCAGCATTGGAGAATCCTGTTTGGTTTTAAACACTTCTAAATGGTTTGGAAAATCAGGGAACAGTGTCCAAAGCCTCTAGGAAATATAAAATGTACTGTGGTGGTTATGTTGCCTTCAGCACCCCCTTAAGGACTCACAAAGCAGCAATCTTTGTTACAGAATTATCAAATACTGCAAAGTTATCTAAAATTCAGATACTCGCTGACCTCACCACATGGTAGCACTATTTCAGCATTGGACTGTTGTCAAACTTCAGTTCTCAGAGTTCTTTACCAGCCTGTGATCCAAAGCCATTCATAAACTACAGGCTCATTATGGATAATGGGAATCGTAGTTTAATAAAAGTTGTATAAGAACAGGTTGTTTATCTCTGGTACATACAATGAAGGGATTTCCAAAAGCAAGCCTACCATATTATCCAAATCTTTCGAACCAGTCTGCAGAGTGAGCTTTATATCTGGGTCAATCACGTTACTGCTTCCCGTTAAATATCTTTAATTCTGTTATTCTCCAAGTCGATCTCTTCACTGCAAGTGCGACCCTATAACTGTCCTCTAGCGGTGAAAAGGTGACACTAAATTAAGATGATTATATCTGGTTTATGCTTAAAAACTGCCTATTTTTTAGAATTCTTTTTTAGCAGAAAAAAAAACAAAGCATTTATTTCCTGTTAAGCTCTGTTAATGGAAGTCAATGTCTGTCTTCCCTCTGACAACATGAATGTATGTTTTGTAGCTGAGGAGTACGCAGAGAGTTACAAAAGAAGAACATTTTAAGAAATAAAGATTTTTTGTTTGTTTGTTGTAAAGCTGGTTTATTTTTTTTAAATGATTTAAACGTTTCTATTTTTGCCGCCATATACGTGGTTTTGGGGAACCCAGGTTGAGTCAAGAGATCATGCCAAAATGAGCCGAAATTTCAAAAACTAATTAAAAAAAAAATCAAAACAACAAAAACACAGAAAAACTTTTCATTTAAACCCTTCTTCCATACAATAAATCGTTTCAATGCCATTTTAAGTGTTTTATTGAACATGTACTGATGAAAATTAAGTCAATACGATTTATACATAAATCAGAAATTTATTTATTTCGATTTTGTACCTTTCCATTTTAATACATTATAATGTACTGAATTAACTGAAAAATATAAACGGTTCATTTTATTAAACCTGGTGTGTTGTTTTTATTTTAAGGGAGGTGATCCTGTATGGTTTATTCACTAAGGGGTTTATTCACTAAACGGAGAAATGCAACAACAGATAATGTTATTTGTAGCCCAAGTATTGCCAACACCCCACATATTGTTATTGTAAGGACGAAACGTCAGACAGGACCTCTTATAACATCAATGAGAGCAGAGGGAGACTCCAGGTGACCTCATTGAAACTGAAGCTTATGGAAGAAGCCAGTTGACTTCACTCAGAAGTAATGGTTTTCGGAGTGCGGATGACTTGTTTATCTGATAAAACATTTCTCAATTTTGAACGAGGAAGGCCTGCATATAGAACTCCAGCTGGTAAAGGTAAGTTTTTCTTACCAACCATGCCACATTCCAACAACCCTTTTACCCATAGTCTACCTTGGTCTATAGTTCCCCGTGCAATGATTGCATGTTCAGGAGGATGAAGAGGTAACTGGGTATCTTATTAAACAGACAGGGCTCTGATTTCAAAGTCAATTTAATATATAAGGTCTAAATAGCCAAACTGGAAACATTCTACTCAGCTACTCAAGTCAGCTACTATGGCCTTAAAGGGTTACTCCAACCTGCATGGTCACTTCTGCTTTTAGAAGTGCTTATGGTGGTAGGAATCTGTATGTTTCTGCTTGAAAAGCTGCCTGTACAGAATAATCTGCACATTTGTGCCTGGAGATAGTTATACCCATGACACACGTGATTTAGGGAAACTGCAACTTTGCTTCGGACTGTCCACTGTTAATTCTGGGCAATAATTCAGTCTGTCATCAGCATGCGCAACGTGCTAGCAACAGATGTAATCAGAATCTACCTTTGCAGGCAGTGCTTGGACAGCACCTGCCAGGGGAAGCCTTTGACTGCACCTGCCAGGGGAAGCCTTGGCCAGCACCTGCCAGGGGAAGCCTTGGCCAGCACCTGCAAGGGGAAGCCTTGGCCAGCACCTTCAAGGGGAAGCCTTGGCCAGCACTTTCAAGGGGAAGCCTTGGCCAGCACTTTCAAGGGGAAGCCTTGGCCAGCACCTTCAAGGGGAATCCTTGGCCAGCACCTTCAAGGGGAAGCCTTGGACAGCACATTGTTTACTTCTATGTTAGATAAGTAAGGGTTAATTGTAACGTTTATAGATCAAATCACTTTAATAAATGCTTTGACAGCATGCCTACTGACATATGTTGCTAAGAAAGGTAATAGAAAGTGTTAAAGGGGAATTGTCAATTCACTGGTATTACAACATTAAATAAAATATGAAAATTACTTATAAAGCGAAAACAAAGATTATGAGAACTCTAAAATGGACAAAAGCTTAAAGAAACTCAGTGGCTTGCCCTTTGGATGCCGTGCTTACTGTGCCTAGAAGGGTATCAGCTACACCGAAACAATTGTCTGGGGCTGCTGTATCACTAATGCAGAGAGAACTTGCTGGCATTTCAGTTCTGGACTGCCCTTACGGGTCGGTTCAGTCTGATATGCTCCAGAATTTGTTCTCTCTGTAATGGTACAACTGAGCAAAACCGATTTTGGTACCTGAGCGGAGATGTACCGAAGGGCAAGCTACTGAGTTTCTCTAAGCTTTTGTCCATTTTGAGAGTTTTCATATACTTTGTTCCTGTTGCAACGAAAATTACTTATAAAACGTATGTTAATTTAAATCATGTGATGTCTCCTTTTTTAAATATTTATATTAAAGATTTAGTCAATTAAACTATAATCCATTTCAGACAAGGCACAGCCAGGGCACACATTGCAAATGAGAAGAAATAGAAACATTGTTATCTGTATGTTTCTCTATGCTGACTGACAGGTGCACAGGGAGCTAAGATGGAGACCCCCAGTTGTAGGATAATGAGGTATGGATTTCTGCATTTAAAGGAAGCCTATGGACTTAAAAATGACAATTGTTATTTCAGGACTTTATGTTATCTTCTGTCTACACTCCTTTGCCCTATAAAAATTAAGTAAAATTAATATTATTTAAGACATTTTCGGGAAAATGTAAGTTTCTCTGACACTACAACGTTTAACATTGCAGGGTTAAAGGGACAAGGGCACTGCACCCAGACTACCTCAATGAGATGACCTAGTCTGGATGCCTATTTTGTCCCTTTAAGGCATAAAGGGACAAAATAAAAATAGAGGGATAACACAAATAAAAATAAGTCTATATTGGTGAATCAGTGATCACAAAGTAGTTAGTTATGGGTTGCCCTTTGAATAGTGGTAGCTGCAAACCATTCCAGACACTATCAGGGTTATTTACAAAAATCTGTATGTATCCTACCCAAGATTGTC